TCTCCCATTCTACTTCTTTCAAGAAACAGCAAAGTTAATTGCAGCGATGGAGGTAGAAGAAGAAGAAGAAGAAGAAGAAGAAAGTGAGGGTAAGACAGAGGAAAAGAGGTGGGGACCAGTGGTTTTGCTACTCTGTTTTGGTTGGAGGGTAGAAGACGTGGTTGAATTCTGTTTTATTTTGATTTCCGGTGGGGTTTGGACCTAGCCTTAGGTTAGTTGAAAAGTTGAAAGATAGAAAGGAGGAGGGAGAGAGAGAGAGCGAGAGAGAGGAAGCTTGCTCCACGGCCCTTGTTGTGGCGTTGCAAGGAAGGAGACAATGAACAATACCTTTGGGTTGAGTCTTGTCTCACTTTTTTTTTAGAATATTTAAATGTATTAAAACCCCCCTTCCAATTTGTGTTTGTGTTGTTTCTCTCACTTTTTCTTCTTCTTTCTCATGTGTGAGCAAATGTCTGCTCAAATAACTAGTACTAACCTTACTACAATACCTTTGGGTTGAGTCTTGTCTCACGTTTTTTTGAGAATATTTAAATGTATTAAAACCCCCCATTCTAATTTGTGTTTGTGTTGTTTCTCTCACTTTTTCTTCTTCTTTCTCATGTGTGAGCAAATGTCTGCTCAAATAACTAGTACTAACCTTATTACAATAGCTAAAATATTTTCTACATTTTTGGCAAATTATTCTTTTTCCCTTCCCCTCAATATCCTCTACTTTAAATATTTTTCAAACTGGGTTACTCAACTTAGAGGCCCTTTTTTTCTTTCCCCTAGTATCAGTACTAAGGGTGAAAGTTCCATCAATATCAATAGCATTCATATCGGTGCTAACACTACTATGATGCGATTGAATATCGCCGACAATGAACATGTTGGGGAATTGGTTTTAGGAGGAGCCGACCATTTTTTTTTAATTCTAAAAAATAAAAAATTAATTTAATTGGACTTACTCAGATTGTCAGTTCAGAATCCCAACTTGATTTCAATAGTTAAAGTCTTTAAACTCCAAGAGTCCAAGTCTCCCAAATTGCTAACTTGAGATACTTGAGCTGGTTAAACAAGCATTTTTCTTGTTGAAACTTCAATAAAGTTGAGAATTGGAGAATCAAACAATCAACCAATTAGAGTTCACTTAGATTGCAGAGAATGTATGAGAGAGAGAAAAGAGATTAAGAGAAATGTTGAATTGGTGTGATGAGAATGGTGGAGGATAGAACTATTTATAGGAATTGAAAATAATTCAACTGCCCAAAATACCAAAAAAACTAATTGTTGGGAGGGGTATTTTGATCATTGTAAAGTTATTTATAACTTTATCAAAAATACCCCCTAAACTAGTTTTTTATATAGTTGTTGGGGGGCATTTGTGTCATTTTTTCTCCCTCCATAACCAAAATACATAAATACCCCATATATAGCTATTTATAGCAGTTAGGGGTATTTATGTGAAAAAACCCCCAAAAAAATTGAAACTAGCTGTTGGGGCCCGCAGGCTGTGTCGTACTGGCCCATGACAGGCCGTGCTGCGGGCTGAGCCGTGCCAGCTCGTGGACTTCAAACCCCAGGCCCAGCACGGCACAAACCATCGTATCGAGCCTAGCACAGCTCACATGCCATCGTGCCGTGCCAGGCCGGGTCATTCCAAAGTTGGGCTAGGCCGCCCATGGCCCAATCCTGATTTACACCTTTAAATACAAAAGACAACGAGCTGTAGAAAATAATCTTTTTTCTGGCATTGTATTTTCGGCAGCTCGTTGCAATACAACCTTTGCGTTACGTGAATAGTAAGGTAGGAAAAGGGGCTCTTCTCTCGTTCTCTTTTACAGCTTGATCACGAGTTTCTCACAAGTCTGTTTGCCAAAACTCTTGAATTTTTGGTGAAAGTTCGGTTCGCATGAATATGGAGGAGGAAGACGAGTAACATTACACAATGCCCTTATTTGATATTTTTTCAAAAAAAAACTATCTCATTCTAATTATTATATGAAAAATGTTATTTTTATTGATTTTAAGGGCAACAAGTTGTACTTATTGGCTAAAAACCCTTCTTTTTTAAACCTTCTTGGCATTGGTGCCTTCTCAGTTACAAGGAGAGGAATTAGAAGATAATACATATAGTCAAGGTAACGTCTTCTAGTAACTAGGTACTAAGAAAATAATCAATAATTAAGAGTCTAAATAATGGTTTTGAGATTTAAAAGAGAAAGAAATAATCTTGGTATCAACAAAAGGAATGAAAATGAGCAAAATTACACGTAGTGGTAAGCGATCAAATCTAAAAGCAAAATTGACAGCAATAATTATTAGAAGCCATAGGACTTTCGCCCTCTTTTGTGAAAACCCGTTGTCTAAACAAGAAGTTAGGTGTTTTGGCCCTGACAAGGCGAGCTAGTGTTCATGCATGAAAATTATTTTCTACTCAAACAATTATTTTCAAAACTTATCTTTGCACCAACCCCTAATATATCCTCACCCACCCGATTGTAGAATTATGCCATACTGTCTTTTTTTAAAAAACATGTTTTAAGAATCGATCTCATTTAGTTCGCATGATTCAAAATTCATTTAGCATTTTCAAAACTAGTTTTAAATAAATATTTATGCATTCGTCTTATATCTTGAAACTCTTTAACATGTTTCTTGTAGCATTACATAGAAGAATTGAGAAAAAAGTGCTAATTGCCAATGTAAATTATTCATTACATGCTTGTTCTACTAGATTCGGCATAGCCTCTGGACTGACACCCCGGTTGTAATAAGCCTTGGCAACCACAGGAGCTTGTTGCATATCCTAGTAACCCCAAGAAGGCCCTAACAACCCCAGGTGTGGTCTTACATACCCTGAAAACCCCATAAAGGCCCTAGCAATCTTAAATACGAACTTACATACCTTAGTAATCCTAGACACGAGCTTACATACCCTAACAACCCCAAGAAAGCCCTAGCAACCACATGCGCAATGTTATATACCCTGACAACACAAGGTGCGATATTACATACCCTGGCAAACCCAGGCACGATTTTACATACCTTAACAACCCTAGGAAGGCCCTAGCATTCCTAGACATGATCTCACATACTCTAAAAACTTATGTGCGGTCTTATATACCGTGGCAACCCTAGATGTCATCTTACATACCATAGCAACCCCAGGCGCCACCTTACATACCCTAGCAACCCCAGACACAATCTCACATACCTTGACAACCCCATAAAGGCCCTGTCAACCCTAGCTGCAATCTCACAAAGCCTTAGTAACCCCAAATATTGCACATTGCTTATGAAGCTCTGGATAACTAGTCTCAGGCACTAGGGATTTACCTTATCTTGCCTATATAATAAATAGACATAAAAATAACAAATCACAAAGCTTGCTATAATCAAACAATTGCTCAAGAACTTGGCACTAGTGAGCTTTGACACTGTCCATCTCATACCAAAACTAGCAGAGAAAGCACTATTTCCAATTGACTGTTAATCTTTCAACACATTAACCAAACTACGTGACTATATATCCCATATATAGTTCAAATAAATGGTCAATGATATTATCATTACAAGAATATTAGTATGTTGCAACAAAACAATCACAACAAATGCTCAAATCACATTGCAAGAGCATTAGTATGTTCCAAAATTTTACACACTAAATGGGGGGGGGGGGCTTCCTATCACTTTTGTGCCATATTTCCCCCCTACCCGATACTTCACTTACCAAAATGTAGAGTCCTAATACTTTAAAACTATCTTCGGACCTTTCTTATTTTTAGAAACCCACCAACAACTCTATCAACGACACATCAATCATGACATACGTTTATTAACAACGTTGTGCAATCATTTGGATAGTTCAACAATATTTAACACGTATCAATGTGCTTGAAGTCCTATATACACCCTTCGACAAAACATGCTTAATCCAACCTTAGAAGAATTCAAATAGGGGGCTACAGACTTGACTCGATCTTTTCCTCTCTCGAATGTTTCTTTACAGAATACCTTCCATCAAGAAACAAGGGGCTAACAATTCGATCTAATTTTTTTCATGCTTTTTGACAAAATGATTTTTTTTTCAAGAAGAAGGGGCTGCTGGCAGTTCAATCTAAAAAATCAATTCATTAAGCACTAAGAGTGAAAAATCGTAGAATCATCGGATTCATCCACCATAGCTCAAAGCGCACTAAGAAGAAAATGTAACTTATGCTTATCGACAAGAATACTCTTATCAACAAGTAGGGGGCTAATTGTAAGTACATGCAGTTCTTTATCACCCCAATTATCTTGTAGATATCAAAATAAGGCGACGAGCTCAAATCTAACAACACGTGGAATCTCCCAGAACTTGCGATAGGCTTGATAACCACCGTAGACTTGCGATGAGCTTAATATCAACTGCAAAAAATTGCGATGAGCTTAAAAGCTACCTGAGATTTGTGATAAGTACGGAAGGCCATCCAAGACTTGCGATGAACACAAAACACCTCTTGGGACTCACGGTGAACAATGGGCATTTCCTGAGACTTGCGATAATATCGCTAATTAGATCTTGTCCTTTAACACGTGGTTATTGAGAAACCCATAAGGGGACATAGCCTATACGTGCCACTTGAGAATCATTAAGAGAAAAAAAAGTCTTTAAAGGATCTCATTAGACATGTGACAAAATCCCAATAGTGCTCCTTTAATAAATGACATAAATATCCCTTAGGAAAAATCCCCTTTTACATCCTTCTACTTACAATCCGCCGATTAGAGTCTGTACAATATTGTAAACATATTTGATTTTATTAATTCAACAAACTTTTTTTTATTTTTTTGTGTAAAGTCCTAGAATATGTATCTTTTGGAAAAAGAGATGGAAACTTTTATTACCAAGCCTTTTTGGTACAAAATAGATACCCGCAAAATTTACCAAAGCACATGGGGTCTTTTAGATGACAGTTGTGACTTGTGAGGACAATGGATGGCTGCACTGTGAGCTCATCTAATTCAACTACCCCATTAATAACAACTCTATTGTTTTTCGTTTTGCTTGCGTAATCTTGAATTTAATGCTTGCTTACCCGTCTCTCCCTGGTTCTTACTACTACAGTACTTCCTACCAGGCTACCACCCCGTTCGTTCCAAAGCATGAGTGCTTGATTTGATATCCTCGTTCCTCTGTGGCTCATCGCTTCTTCTTCCATTACCAAAGTCAAATGATCCAAGGCTTGTGGTGGTGGTTTGCCAATCTTAGCTAACCCGAACGACCCACATTCAATAACATTTTCCCCAACGGTTTTGTCATTTAAAGATCTCTCCGCATTCCGCAACACCCACTCCCACTTCCCTTATATCTAGAGGAGTCTTGTATCTCCACAGATGCAAGATGGCTGCCTGTTTCATCGAGCAGCTCAAAGCTCAACCCTCTTGGGTTGTTCTGCTCTTGGTTTTCGGCTCCCTTTCTTTGTTCAAAATCGCTTTTGCTCTTCTCAAATGGGTTTACGTTACTTTTCTCAGGCCTGCGAAGAATCTAAAGAAATACGGCTCCTGGGCTCTCGTTACAGGACCAACTGACGGCATCGGAAAGAGCTTCGCCTTTCAGTTGGCTCGTAAGGGGCTCAACTTGGTCTTGGTTGGTCGGAATCCTGATAAGCTCAAGGAGGTTTCCGATGCAATTCAGGCGAAATTTGGCAAGACCCAGATCAAGAATGTTGTTGTCGATTTCGCCGGTGATCTTTCCGACGGGATTAAACGGATTCAGGAGTCCATTGAAGGATTAGATGTTGGGATTTTGATTAATAATGTCGGCATCTCATACCCATACGCAAGGTTTTTCCATGAAGTCGATGAACAGCTCTTGAAAAATCTGATTCAAATCAATATTGAAGGAACCACGAAAGTCACGCAGGCTGTTCTTCCGGGGATGCTTAAGAGGAAGAAAGGCGCGATTGTCAATATCGGTTCTGGTGCCGCCATTGTCATACCTTCAGATCCTCTTTATGCTGTTTATGCTGCTGCTAAAGCGTAAGTATTATTCTTTTCTCAGTACCTTCTGTGAGCTCTAGCTTGATCTGTTATTCACTTCGAATGGAAAGTCAAAGGATTTCAGTCAATGAGGGGATCCGATCCGTGGTTGCCATATGGCTCTGAATTGTGCTTAGAAACCTCAAAACTGTTCGATTAAATTCTCGAGTGGAGCATTCATGCCATTTTCCTGCTTCTTTTAGATCGCTTCTGTTTATAAGGATTTAATACTTTTCCTTCTTTTTTAATTTTATCATTCATAGTTTGCCATAGGCGAAACCGGAATTTCTTTTTCTCTTTGGGAAAATATGTCTCTGGTTTCAACTTGTTCATCATACGTTTAGGGTCGTTGCATTGGCTTGAGCTCCCCCGCCCCCCGGCCCGGTGGCTCTTCCCTTTTTAGTTAACGAAGGTATACTCGGGTAATTTCAGGTACATCGATCAATTCTCCAGATGCCTCTATGTTGAGTACAAGAAGAGCGGGATCGATGTCCAGTGCCAGGTATTCAGTTTGAATTTGATATTATTTCCTCAAATAGATATTAGTTGAATATTTGAACTAATAATTTTAAATTTAAGGTCAAGAATAACTGTGCAAATATTTTATCTGTTGAAGCTAAAATACTTGAAACTTGCTTGTATAAATGAAGAATTTGCATTCTATATTTTAATCAAAATATCCTTCTTGGAAACTTCAATCAGAGATTATTTTGGTATCATTATTTCTTTTTTTCTTCCATTAACTTGTCCATAAATTATTTACTTGCATATAAGAAATAAGTTGCTTTGTTATTTTTCTTCTTTTGGCGTTTGCATCTTTTTTTTTTTTTTTTGGTGGGTAAGTGAATAATGACTAGGCATGTAAGGGAATAAGAGGAACAAGTAAGGATTCCCAACATCTAATTAAGATCGGTGCACTATTTATAATTTTGGATTGTAAGTTCCCTATACTCATGCGGATAGAATGCTCTTTTTTATGGGGTTTTATATTCCAAACAGTGTTCTGAAAAACATAATCATTTTGTTTGGCTATATAATCTTTCTGTACATCTTACTGTTGTATGTTACTTATAAAGTGTACCAATCTCATAAAATCACTACAAGGAACACTCCTAGTCACTGTGCACCACCACCGATGAGTATAACCTTCCCTGGGGAACTTTTGCAATTGAATCTTCCACATTGATTTTGTCGTCGAATATTCAAGCATTCCCTTCTGTCCATGTGGTCCAAACCAGTGCAGGGGGTGTAGCCCCCCAAACAACCTTCCCATTTCTACGAAGACCTTTCAGCTGCTAGCTCCATAAGAAAGCTTCCATTTGTTTCTGGAAAACAAACTTGCATCCCACCCAATATCCTGGTCAACAACCTCCTACCCGGGTTACAATGCGGAATAAATGATCCACTGTTTCGATGCACTCATTGCACATGATGCATGTGACATTGTTCAACAGCTTACCCCTCTTCACCAGATTATCCACTGTAAGTCTTTTAGGACTGCTGTCCAGTGTCCACATTAAAAAAACAACCTTTAGGGGTGCCATGGTGCCAAACTCTTGAGCTAGGGAATGCACCTCCTCCGGTATGAGCCATCTTGTTATAAAAAGATTTGGCTGTGAATTTGCCAGCTTTATCCACACCCAAACACTCCTGTCTGCTTTACTCCCAAGTCCTATCTGGTGTAACAGCATATATCTTCTGCAAAAAATCCACAATAGACCCCTTTTTTTGAGAGAAAGCAACTGTTATTCATTAATATGAAGAAATAGTACATAAGACAATGTACCTCAGGAAGCATTACAGCAAAAAAGCCAAACATGTCTACATAGGCAAACATCTATCAGTATACAGAACATCCAAATGAGCGCCAGACTTAGTTGGACCATCTGCTAACGAGTTTAGTTAACTCGGAATCCAATACAGATTTACATTCATGACATCCAGAATATCTCTAGGCTTAGACAAGTAGTGACCTAAGCTCCAAGGGCCACCCTTCTTTTCTCCTAACCAGTTAAAATTTGATAGTATTACAGAATTTCCTTCAATGGTCAGGAGACTGCCTAGTTTTTGAAACTTCCTCTGAATGTGGGGTTCCATGACCCTGGTTCCCTGTAAAGGATAAAAACATCTGCAATGGGGGCCTCCTTGTTCTAGACTACCTCAAATAAATTAGAACATATCTCCTTTAGTCTTTATTTGGTTTGAGGGAAGATTTTGGTGGGATGTGATGCAATGAGAAAGGGGATATGGTATTCATAAAAAAAAAAGAGAGAAAGGGGATATGGGTGGAAAATTTTCACATTCCATTGTTTGGTGCAAAAGGGAAAATAGTTGGAGCATCAGCCCTAGTAACAATTATAAATTAATTAATAATTTTAATATTTTATTAAAATTAATAAAATATATTAATTATTAACTTTTTTTTTAAATTAGTTAGTATTTAATATTAATAAAATAATAAAATTAATTATTTTATTAATTGTTTATTGGATAACTAATAATTTATGGTGACGTGTCTAATATTAACTCTTAAAAGTACCACAGAGAAGGTGCTCTTAAACAAGTTTCCCCCTCCTTTCCCTTTTTTTCATACCAAAATGGTGTGACTCCACTTCCCATCCCATGAACCAAATGCAGCCTTAGTGGTTGCTTATTACACCAAGGATCCATCCAAAATCTCATCCTAGCCCCATTACCTACTTCATACTTGATCCCTCCCCTTTGAATTTTGAATAAGATTTGTGTTAGCCTTTCAATAGAGCATAACCAAACAATTTACAGTCATATTATAAATCATAGAGAAGTGAAAAAGATTATTTCTGTTTTTAGAATTTGTCAAGATATGAATATGAAAACAAATATATTAAAAATTAAATATATATGGAAAAGGAAAAAAAATGATTCTACCCCATTTTTAATTCATAGCTAATCATGCTTTTTTTTTACTAGCAAAACTGAGAGAAAAGAAAGGGAGAGATTTAAGACATATTAGGTGCATTAATGATGAAGATCAAAGAGTCTTGGTAAAAGATGAGAAAATCAAACAAAGATGGACAAACTATTTTGAAAAATTATTAAATGAACAATAGGGAGAGGTTGTTAATGGATCTAGCAATACTAGTAGTGTTAAAGATAATACGTACCTTTGTAGAGTTAGATTTACTAAAGTAAAGTAGGCACCAAATAAGATGAAGAATTGTAAGGCATTAGGACCTAATGGAATTCCTGTACAAGTATGGAAAGGTATGAGAGAGGTAGGCTTATTATGGCTAACCAAGCTATTTAATATAGTGAAAGAAAAAGAAGATGCTTGATGATTGGAGAAACAATAGTGTGGTGCCTATGTTTAAGAACAAAGGTGATATAGAAGGTTGTAATAACTATCAGGGGATTAAACTTATGAACCACAATATGAAACTTTGGGAGAGAACACTTGAACAAAGATTATGACTTGAAAACAAGTGTCTTATAGAACCAATTTGGCTTTATGCCAGGGAGATCAACCATGGAAGTTATATTTCTTTTGAGGCGATTGATAGAAAAGTTCAGAGAGAAGAAAGATCTTAATATGGTGTTCATTGATGTAGAAAAGTCATATGATAGAGTTCCTAGAGAGATAATATGGTTGGTCTTGGAAAGAAAGAGATTCAAAATAGGTGTACAGATCTAATTAAGTATATGTATGGGGGGGCAACAATCAATGTTAGAGCACTAGTGGGAGAGAAGGTTCAACACTTATCCCTCATCTATTTGCACTGATCATAAATGAATTGACTAAACATATTTAGGAGAAAGTTCCACGGTGCATGTTGTTTGCGGATGACATTGTTTTAATTGATGAAACTAAAAGTACAAAATTAAGCTTATGGGCAAATGCCTCAGAAAGAAGAGGTCTTAAAATGAGACCGGATCTGCTCCTCACACATGGCGCCTCACACCGACCTCACAGGCACATCCCACCGTGCATTGGGAACATCTCCCGCAATTCTCTTAAAATATCTAGGACTAAAGCATGGTATATGACATGTAAATTTAGTAATAATAGGAATGTAAATCAAGATACACTTGGGATTGGAGACCAAGAGATAACTCAGTGTGACCATTTCCTATACCTTGGTTTAATAATTCATAAGAAGGGAGAGATTGAAGAGGATGATACCTAAAAAATTAGAGTAGGATGGGCAAAATGGAGGGGGTGCATTTGGACTTTTATGTGATAAGCGAATACTACAGATTAAAAGGAAAGTTCTATAAAATAGTTGTAAGGCCAATTATGTTGTATGGAATAGTGTTGGGTAGTCAAGAGACAATATGTCCAGAAAATGAACATGGTAGAAATGCAAATGCTAAGATGAATGAGTGGGAAAACTAGAAATGGTAGGATTAAGAATGAAGTTTTCTATAACCTACAAGTAGCTCCAATAGGTGATAAAATGACAAAGTAGACTAAGATGATTTGGGCACGTGCATAGAAGACCACCAATTGTGCTAGTTAGAAGAAGTGATTTGTTTCACATTGAAGGGGCTAGAAGGGCTTGGGATAGACCAAAAAGAACATGGGTAGAAGTAGTAAGAAATTATTGGATATGGCATTGAATAGATTGGATTTGTGAAATAGGATTCATGTAGCTGACCCCATATAGTTGGAAACTCGGGATAAGGCGTTGATGGTGATAATGATTGAACTTTAATGTTATTTAATTTACTATTACTATTATTATTATTATTATTATTATTATTATTATTATTATTATTATTATTATTCAACAAAATATTACAGCATGATTGATATCATACGAAAAGGTAAAGAAAATGCGCACCAGTATTGGCTGTTACAATTCCTCTAACATTGCATGGCAGGTTCTGTCGGTAGCTACTGGTCCTGGGAAATGTCCATTTGGTTGTTTATTGCAGAAATATTTACTTTTATGTTCTCGTTGCTTCAAAATCTAACTGCTGCATGTGTAGTGACATCAGACTTCCATCTATTACTTCAGTTGTTCTCTTCAATATATATGTAATACCACTGGTGTCATCTAATTTATAGTTTTTTATATTTTAAGGTCTAAATCTTCTCGAAGGTATTAACGGGAATTTAAACAATTAATATCTGTAATAATTAAATAGAAATTCTTTTTGCATTCCGCATTTAATTTTAGATACATCTTAGCCAATCCTATGTTTTCATTCATCAGTGTTCTCAAGGTCCTGGAACCTTGCTTCACGCCTCCACATTTTTAAACATTGGTTTTGGGTACCACGTATCCCACTGTTTTGAATCTGGAGCTCCCACATTCTAAATTTGGGTGCTCAGCTGCTGTGATATTTGGCACTTAAACAAGGAACTGTTGAAACTATTATTTGTTGGATTATAAATGTATAGTAGTCTTGATTATTTAGAAAGTTAGCAAATGGAGAAGGGATTCAAGACATTTTGATTTGCTTTGGTTTCTGTTTGATTTATTGTTGGGTTTTGACACAGATTCCCTTGTATGTGGCCACAAAGATGGCATCAATCAGAAGATCTTCCTTCTTTGTACCATCAACAGATGGCTATGCTCGGGCTGCCATGCGCTGGATAGGCTACGAACCACGATGCACACCTTACTGGCCACACTCTGTTCTATGGGGCTTGGCATATTCATTACCGGAATCAATCATTGATGCATGGCGTCTTAACTTCTGCCTTGGGATCCGTAAGAAGGGACAACTAAAGGAATCAAGGAAGAAGGAATAGATGGTGAATATTTTATTAATGTTTTGGGGAGATCAGCTAGTTTTAGCTTATAATTCTGTGAATCTAGTTTCTCAAAACTTAATTTATCTGTTACATTATCCTAGTTTAAAGAATTTTATTTTCAAAATCAAATTTGTAGTTGTTGATGGGTGTATTACTGCGACATACATACAGTAGTCCTTGCCCTCGATCATTATAACCAGTAGTTATGGCTAAAGGTTGTTTATTATAAATTACTATTTATTTTTTTTTTATTTATTAGTAACCACTGTTTCAGTTCAGCCTATTTCAATAATTTATTTATTTTAATTTTCTTCTTAATCGTTTGTGAGCAAACATTACATTTTCGTAGACAACTTTTTTACAGGTATGAATTGAACTGGTATTTTGAACGTTAAACATCCACAACCAATCAATTAATATTATCCAAGAGGAGCTCACGCGTTCAAATTGAAGCGTATCTCTTTAACTCCCTAGTCCCTCATGTAGCTGTGGAGATTGTGAAAAAATAGAAATGAACAAGCTAGATAGGAGGTGGTTGAATTTAAAGTTTCAATGAGGAAAAAATTGTTGAAACCAAGGTTCAAAATATCGATATGCCCGATGTGCCGGTATGGGTGTATCGGATGAATCGATACAGCTTTTGGTGCTTTTTTTTTTTTTTCCGCAACTGGTTCAGGCCGCCTCCACACCTTGAACTGGTCAGACCCTCGATACACTCACTGTAGGGGTGTATTGGAGGGGTTCCAGAACGATACGTATCGGCTGATACGGTTTGATACGTGTCTATACTTTGAATCTTAGTTGAAACAAAGGAAAATGAATAATTTGGATAAAATGGGACCCTCGGAGGGCCTCAAAATAAATTCTGAAGCTCCTAGAAAGATTGATGGATCCTCGGCTACTGGTTGCATTGTTAGGGATGGGAAGGATCACACACTTCTGGTGAAGCATGTAGTAATCTGTGGGTTCTTGTTCAGTTGTTCTATTAACGTGGCTGAATCATGGAAGTTAAAATGTTCAATACGCACATATTACGGGCTTTCATGTTGTCGGGTCTAGTGAATCTCTAAGTAGTAATAGGTAAGTAATAAAATGACATTTTTACCCATAAAAAAATAATACAAAAATGGGTAAAGTTTTATTATGCTTTATAAAATTTCCCTCAAAAGTGGAAAAGTTATTTATCAAGCTGAGATAGGTAAGTTTTATTGGGGGGGGGGGGGGGTTGGAGCTTATTTTACTGTGGGGTCTATTAGTAAATGTAAAAGAAAAAAATCCACTTTAGTACCTGAACTTTGGGGGTGGTGTCAAGTTAGTACCTGAACTTTCAAATGTGTTACTGCAGTGTCAAATTGATTTCTGTTGTTAATCGACCATCAGTTATCTGTTGAAAATGTCAAAACTATCATTCAAAAGAAGACACTGTTCATTGTCTTCTATCTTGAGACTGAATTGGTTATCTTCAAAGAAAAAGAGAGAAAAAACATGAAATATAATAAAGGGAAACAATAACTGAAAGCAAAGAATAACTAGACAAGAATGTATTTCAAATCTAAAGGTAGAAGACAATGACTTCAGTAGGGACCAACTTGACACTTTTTGAAAGTTTAGGTATTGCAGTGACATGTTTCAAAGTTTGGGTACTAACTTGACACTACCCCCAAAGTTTAGGGTACTAAAGTGGAATTTAAGAACATTGTAAAACTGGTCAATGAGAAAAAGATACTCATCGTCAAATAACAAATTTCCTAAGCTTATTTACCATAAACCAATGGGGTCCAAGTCTAAACAAACTCAGCCATTTCCATTATTTCATTGCAAAGAAAGAGTGCACATGCTACTAAAAATTTGTTGAGCTATATTGCTTCTCCTATTTTTACAGTGGAAAATTTGTTCTCCTTTTACATTGAAACAGATGCACATCAGGGCTGCTGGCGCCCCTACGCAAGTAGCAGAATAGCCTAAGACTTGGATGTGACAGTATTTGGCATCGATGCCGTTTTCTAAGAAAACGACACCACATCAATGCCACGTAAAAAAAGGGGGTGTTCTAGAAAACAGTCTTATTTGACATCATTTTTCCAGAAAAAACATTGCTCCAAACTATACATTGGAAATCGGGAAAGTGTGGTCTGAAGAAATGTCAAATTCAACGTTTTCTTAGAAAACATCCTATTGCTGCCAGTGGTGCAATGATGTGGCATCATCTTGGCCGTTGGATAATATAGACCAGTGTTGAAAACAGTTATACAACATTGGTACCAAACAAAACCAGCCTATGCGGCAGCATTGATGCCAAATAGAAAAAAGGAACCGTTTTCTCAAGAAATGGTACAATAGGCCCTATACAGCACCGTTTTCTCAGAAAACATCTCTGAAGCAACGGCATCATGCCAAATACCTATGTTTGGGAGCTCTTCTTTGCTGTTTAAAAGTAAAAGCATTCCGCAATAGAAAGTAGAAAAATCCGAAGAAAAGCTCTTTGTAATTACAGAGGCGATTATAGTGAAAAAAAAAAGTCATTAGTCATTACAATGGGAGAATCTGAGTTAATGCCATTCTTCTATTTGGAAAGTACAGGTATGAGCCTATAACTGACATTTCATTTTATATGCAAATAGTTACAGCTCTTTCTATTAATTGCCCACAGAAAAGGAGTGAAGGAAAAATAAATGGAAAACAGATTTGATCATGGAAATTCCAATTTCCAAATCATTTCAGAAATCAGTTGGTCGTCACGGTCATCTTATCGAGTTCCTACTTGTTCAGCTTCCAAAGGACTTCTGACTTAATATTCGACTTAATGTTCGGACAATTCCACTTCTTGGCCTTTGAACTGATTGAGATCCGTTGGTTGACTGACTTCCGCCATTTGCCTTGGCAAGTTCTTCAGATAGGGTACAAAGATTATCGAAGCGTCCCCGGAATGGTGGATACTTTGAGATGGACTTTGTAATCCCTCGGAGCCTTCGCACAGAGAAGGAAAATACAAAGACAGAACAGATATTAGAAGAATGTAAAGACACACTAAAGCTTTTTGAAAAAAATAAAAAACATATATTCCATATTTTTACCTTCGAGCAAATCCATCTAGTTTACCCCTTTTCAGCTCAGATTCTGGTGGTGTCACTAGATTTGAATTCTTCAATCTCTGAGGATCCCCGCTCAAGAGAACGGATTTGCAAAGGTAGTTCTCTTCAGCTTCTGAAAGCTTTGCAGCTTTTATCTGATCTTTCAAGATCAGTAAAGGGTTAAGGAACCAATCAAAGAAGGCATCTTTGGGTCTATTTTCCCTAGTTATTTCAGTCTCATAATTGCCTGGAAGAATTTAACAATAATGTAAAAAATACTATTTTCATGGCAGTTATCGAGGAATAAGAATGTGATATATGCAAAGGACCTCTTGAAGTTATTCAAACAATAATACAGTATGGTGCTGCTACTGCTGCACACATTTGGGAGCCATACCTACAGAGAAACTAGTGGCGCCCCATATTTTTCTTTAGTTTACTACTGGCTTTCCTAGATTTGGTATTAGATTCATTAAAAAGCAGGGGCACTCTTCAAGGCCATCAATGAAATCAGCACTTCTCCCCTGGAATGAGATAAATTCATTTTAGTCATTCATTGTATTTGAGATTACAATATTTATTTGAAAACAGATTTACTTCAGTAATGCCAATTAAAATCAGAATAAGGTCATTCCAAGGTTTTAACACCTAAGGCTGTTGAATTTTGAGATTCCATTTCACTTTTCGGCACATATTGAATTTTGACCCAAAATAATAAACAATTAGGACAAAAAGAAGATAATAGAAAGGAAACAGGAGAAAGGAGAAAAACAGGAAGGAGAAAAGGAGAGGTCTGAAAACTTCGTTTCTGCAATCTTTGTATATGATATTTTACAGGGGGGGGGGGCTTCTTCCAATGTATGCCAAACTAATAAATTATGGATCAAAAGATGTATGAAAAAATAACACAAAATGATCTCATTAGACATCATATTCACTGTATTCTATTAAGTATGTTCTATCTTCCTATATAATAAATTTTGTTCTCTTTTGGACCGATCATTCACAAACCTCATCTCCAGAAATCATCTTATTTCTTCACTTCATCAACCAAATCACATCCTTTTTTTTTCTATTGAGTCACCATGAGAAAGTTACATCACCACCAAAAGCTCCAGTAGCCAGACTATTAGAAGGATATGCAAAACTGTAACTTATAGTCCCAGAATTCCAGATGGTTCAAATTAGTTTACCTACGTGGACTTACTTCTTGACATCTGGAATGTTCCCTGACATTGTATATATTTCCATTGTCTTCCATATGCCAATATATGAAGTTTTTCTTCAACAAGTTAGTTTCATTTTCTGTTGTGCGGTTGGTCTTCTGTTATGGTATCAGAGTGGTAGATCCATCCCACCTGTTTTCCCTATTTTCTTCTCTCGTTTTTTTCTGTGTTCTTTAATGGCGAATACCAACACAACCACCATGGCCGAGAGCGATCCAAGGTCTCCTTACTTTCTTCATCCATCGGACAATCCAGGGGCGGTGCTTGTTTCAGTGCCACTCACCGGCGACAAATATTCAACTTGGAGGCGTGCAATGAAGAATGCTCTCCAGGCAAAAAACAAATTCTCCTTTGTAGATGGAAGTCTGCAGTGTCCAGATTTGACCTCCGGTGATCGTCTGGCTTGGGTGAAATGCAATTCCATGGTGATCGGCTGGCTGTTTAATTCTGTGACCCGAGATCTCCATGAAAGTATAGCATACGTTGAGACAGTTGAAGAAATCTGGAAAGACCTTGAGGATCGGTATTCACAGGGCAACGTTCCGAGAATCAAGGTTCAATGAATGTAGCTGCATATTTTGCAAAACTGAAGGGACTATGGGATGAGATGTATGCCCTCATTCCTGCACCTATCTGCGTTTGTGGCGTGGCCAAAGATTATGTGGCAGAAAGAGAACGGGAAAAATTGCATCAGTTTCTCATGGGATTGAATGACAACTTCAATTCTATTCGATCCAACATACTGGCTACCAAATCAGTTCCTGGAATCAATCGTGCTTATGCGCTGATCATCCAAGAAGAACGACATCAATCGGCAGCTTCGCATTGTACTGTTCAAAATCTTGAGGCTGAGCCATGGCCGTCCAGTCCAAATCAGGATATCACATGCAAGATCCTAATTCTCAGTCTCGCAGCAAACTCTATTGTGATCACTGCAAAAAGAAAGGTCACACTAGGGACCGATGCTTCGAACTAGAGGGTTATCCCCCAAATTGGGATCGTAACAGGTCAAACAGATCCAAGAAACAAAATATGCTACCTACTGCGGCACATGTTTCTACAACCACAGACAATCTTGCTCCTATCTTTACACTGGATCAGTATAATCAGCTGTTGTCGCTCATTGGTCAAGGCAAGCTGCAAGCTAACACTACTAATCTTGCTGGTACTGTCACTCATACCTCATCATCTTTAAATTCCATACACTAGATACTTGACAGTGGAGCATCAGACCACATGTCACCCTCCAATGTTAATCTCACTGCATGCTACTCCATAAATTCACCAAAGTTTGTTAGTTTGCCTGATGGATCCACATTACCTATAACACATCAAGGTTCTTGCAAGATCACACCTCAGCTCACTATAGATCACATTCTTTGTGTTCCTGATTTCCACTGCAATCTACTTTCAGTCAGCAAATTAACCTCCCAACTGAATTGTGCAGTTACTTTCTACCCTGATTTCTGTATTTTATAGGACCTAGTCTCGAGGAAGGAGATTGGGAGGGGTAAGATGTGGAATGGAATATACTACCTTCACCCACCATCCACCTCACCATCCGACTCAATTCATAACTCCACCACTGACATTACTCCACCATTGACATACATGCTATGGCATCAACGCTTAGGGCATGTATCCTCTCCTCGGGTCAACACCGTTTCTGGTCATTCTCCCAGTGATGCAGACCGGAGTTGTGAAATTTGCCACAAGGCAAAACTTACTAGACTTCCATTTCCAATTAGTACTATTCAGTCTATAGTACCTTTTGAATTGTTACATTGTGATATTTGGGGTGGATATAAAACGCCCTCCCATAGTGGGGCACATTACTTTCTCACTATAGTGGATGATTGTACTCGCAACACATGGGTTTACCTGATGAAACATAAGGTAGATACTCTGGATTTCTTGGTCTCATTTTTTCACATGGTTAAGACACAACATAATGCTACTGTGAAGTACATCAGATTAGATAATGGGTCTGGATTCTTGTCTGGACCCATGCAACAATTTTATTTACAAGCAAGGATCATACATCAACGATCTTGTGTTGACACGCCCCAACAGAATGGTGTTGCGGAACACAAACATCGACACTTGTTGAAGTAGCCTGTGCTTTCAAATTTCAAGCCAATCTTCCAATCACTTTTTGGGGCAAGTGTATACTTACAGCAACCTACATCATAAACTACACCCCGACACCCAAACTTCAAGGAAAATCTCCAGTTGAAGTTTTGCTCAACAGATCTCCTTCTTATTCCCACTTAAAGCTTTTTGGGTGTTTATGTTTTGCTCGGGTAGCTCCACCAACTCATGATAAATTTTTGCCACACGAGCCCGAAAGTGCATATTTGTGGGATACCCATATGCCCAAAAAGGATACCGCCTATATGATCTAGAGTCCAAAACCATATTCGTATCTAGAAATGTGATTTTTTATGAAACCCAATTTCCTTTTAAGGACTGCCACCCAAATCCAATTCAGCCTGTTCCCTCACCTGTTATTCCTTAACCCCAAGAGGATGTTGAATCCACTATCATTTCACAACACTCCCATCATGATGCTCCACCTGACCATACCATAGATCAACAACCTTGGCCGTCTCGTTCTAGGCGAGCACCATCCCATTTAAAGGACTACATTTGCTCTATACCCCCATCTTTGCAACAGCAGTCCCATGCCCTCACATCATCGTTGATTGAACCCAAGAATTATACAGAAGCATCTCAAGATCCAAAGTGGCAACAAACCATGGCCAAAGAAATTGAAGCTCTTGAGCGAAACAACATTTGGTGCATTGTTGATCTCCCACAAGGAAAAAGAGCCATTGGTTCAAAATGGATTTACAAAATCAAACTGAAACCTGATGGTACTGTTGATCGCTACAAGGCCCGCCTAGTGACCCGTGGATATACTCAAATTGAGGGGTTGGAATATCATGACACTTTTGCCCCTGTTGCCAAACTGGTAACCATGTGTTGCTTGTTAGCAGTTGTGGCAGCTTGAGGTTGGTCTCTTCACCAACTTGATGTCAACAATGCCTTCTTAAATGGTGATCTTCATGAGGAAGTCTATATGCGCATCTCACAAGGATTTGATAAAAATAAGCCACACAAAGTTTGTCACCTACAAAAGTCCCTATACGGGCTCAAGCAATCGTCAAGGATCTGGTTTGAAAAATTCACTCTTGCCCTACAAGAATATGGCTTCTCACAATCCAAAGCTGACTATTCACTATTCACACTGCAGAAATCAGATACCTTTATAGCAGTTTTGGTGTATGTTGATGATCTTATAATCACTAGTACTCATGAGTCATGCATTCAAGAGCTGAAGGATTATCTACACTCATGCTTCATTCTCAAAGATTTGGGCCCTCTCTCTTATTTTTTGGGCATTGAGGTTCAAAGATCTACATCGGGAATTTCCTGAGTCAACAGAAGTACATTCATGATATTCTACAGGAAACAAACATGCTTAACTATAGGCCTACTAAAATACCCATGGAGCAATTATCACCACTCCATGATGACTCCAGCCCATTACTTCAAGATCCTGGACAGTATAGAAGACTTGTGGGCCGACTTGTCTACTTACAAGTCACTAGACCAGAACTAAGCTTTGCAGTCAATACTTTGAGCCAGTTCCTTCACAAACCTCGGCAAGTGCACATGGATGCAGCTTTACAAGTCCTACGGTACTTGCAAGCCACAACATCTCATGGGCTATTTCTACCATCTACTTCTGACCTCACCCTCAAAGCTTTCTACGATTCTGACTGGGCCTCATGTCCCACTACCCGACGATCAACCACAGGCTATATTCCCATGCTAGGAGGATCTCTTCTATCTTGGAAAAGTAAAAAGCAGAGCGTGGTGTCTCGGTCATCTGAAGAGGCAGAGTATTGTGCAATGGTCGTAACTACTTCAGAGTTATTGTGGCTCAAGCATCTCCTCCACGATCTTGGAATCACCATCAAAGGTCCTATGCATCTCTACTGTGACAGTCAAGTGGCTCTCCACATCGCTAACAATCCTGTATATCATGAACGAACCAAGCACATCGAAATCAACTGTCACTTCATTCGCCAGCACATTGCAAATAACACAATTGCTACTGATCATATTTCCAGCAAAGATCAGCCGGCAGACCTCACCAAACCTATGGGGCCTCTTCCATTTTCTACACTAGTAAGCAAGTTGGGCATCCAACCTACCCCTGCTCCAACTTGGGGGGTATTAGAAGGATATGCAAAACTGTAACTTTATAGTCCCAGAATTCCAGATGGTTCGAATTAGTTTACCCACGTGGACTTACTTCTTGACATCTGGAATGTTCCCTGACATCTTCAACGAGTTAGTTTCATTTTCTGTTGCGCGGTTGGTCTTCTGTTACAGACTTCTTGCTGCTGAACCCTTCAAAATACAATTTGAACCAATTACCCCCAATAGTCCAATTCCAGAAGACATGTTGTCTTGAAGACATTTCAAAGTTTGAGAAAACCTTCAAGGATCTTCAGAAAAAAGTATGAAAGGGGGAGATAGATATATAAGAAAATATTAGAATAATATTTTAGTTCTACATCAACCATTTGTAAAGGCATTCTAAAGGCTCTTTTGCTACATAAAGGCCTAGATTATTACTTGACACAGTTTTAGTTTTAGGCGGTAAGGAACCTTAAAACTTTGCCAATAACATTTTTCTCTTATATTTTGATAGACAATTTCTAAAATCTTTATAAGTTTAGGATTATTTTTCTTCCTCATTCTGATAGTTTTCCAGATTGGGTACATAAGTAGAAAAGAAGAGTCTACTCACTTAGCAATATACCATCTGAGTTGGCCTTGGCAGAACGGAGAAGTGTTTGAAGGATGCAATAAGCAGGCAGACCAACGCTTATCACACTGATGTCACCTCTGCTAGACTTAGATTCTTCCATATCTTCGGGTATTATTAGTCCTTCATCAACTAGAATCTCCCTATGCCGCGTACATTCCTTAAATAAGCCACCCAGAAACTACATGTGAACAGTTTCAGTTAATGCATCATGACATTATTTTTCTATCTCCGGTAAGCTATATATAATTCTTTCTAGGTGGTGTGGGAAGAAGGAAGGTGCCCCAGTAGTGAGGCAGAGAAAAGTAACTGAGCTGCAGGTTCTGTAGCACAGCTATTCTCAATTCAGAGTTAGTCAGCCGTGCAACTCAGCAGCTTTTGCTCATGCATCACATGACAGTGAATAGTTTAACTGCCAAAAATGTCTGATCCTTTCTGTTGCATAAAATATGACTTGTATGAGAGACTTGGCACAACTGACAGACAGGTAAACCAAGCGAATCAGATAAGCTAATGCCTCCTGGTATTCAAAAAAAAAAAAAAAAACAGAATATGAAAATTTCTGGCACATTCTTTCGAAAAAATTTCTTTTATTTGGTGCATACTTTCCAAAAATAAAGCTAAGGTATATTGTCTGAGAATCATTAACCCATTAAGGTATAATTTTTAGATGAAAAAGAACAAGATACCTCAAGTGGATTCAACTCAGTAATAGAGTTCTTGATTGAGATGCAACGTGAAGGAGGATTTCGGAAAGAGTTAAGCCTTGAGAAAGAAGTGGCATGAGAGATGGGACGTGACTGGGGTCCCCTTCGGTACTTAGGCCTGATAATTGAGAAGCAGCTTGTCAAATTAAACATACCCAACATAAATAACAAATATTAACACTAAAATACTGGAGTGAAACACAAGAGCACCTAGGAAAACAGGACCCTTCTGGCATGCCAAGCACATCATTGCTGTACTCATCGAAAATAGACAGAGATGAGATGATATAGCGAAGGCCCAAATATATGGATGACTCCTATAGTCCAAAATCTCATAACAGAAGAGTCAATTCCATGGTTAAGATGAATAACAAATGAAAGCAAATAAAGATTCTCTGTGATATGACATACGAGAAATTGTGCAATGAAGGACCAATTAATGACCTGAGTAAAAAATTGAAACAAAACAGCTCTTCCCACTTCTGAAAGAAGTTCACATCTCCTGGGATCCACCCAAGTTGAGCCAAGGTGGATGGGTTTTCTCTAGTTATGTTGAGTTAATGAGTAGATGCCATGGAAACAATCTAATTCATTTGCCCCGTTTAATTTTATTAGAAAAACATCCTTCCATTGCGAAGAATGTAAGATAGGAACCACTTTAGTTGTGGGCCAAGTTTCATTTGTCAAAAATGCTGAGATCAGGACCGAGTCTCCATGACCAATGGAACAACTAAAGAACAAAAATAGAAAAAAACCCTGGGATGTGCCCAAATACATAGATATTAAGACCATCAGAGAGCTTAAAGTAAAAACCTAATAGTCTATGATCACATTATTGGCTTGTTGTTTGGGAAATTGGGCCAAAAATACAAACTATCAAGAAGTCTTATCATAGGAAACTATCTTTTTTTATTTGGACATGCAAATAATCTTATTTCCCACTCATCCTCCTAACATTCACACTTCTGCTACACTCATTTTTGGACAAGTTTTTTGACTATCCAAGCAGCATTCTCCTATCACATAGGACTTTTAGATGCACCCCTACATTTTGCCCATTCTGTTCTAATCCTATGGGCAACATAAACCTTAATCTCTCCCTTGTTATGGACTATTTTACCAAGTTAAGGAAAGAGGTCACATTGAGACATCTCTTGGTCTTCAATCATAATTATACCTTGATTTCCACTCTTATTATTATACCAGTAAATGTACATGGACGTTGCATGTGGCAATTTCAAATGATGATGATAACTATTATATTATTTTTTAGTGTTATTATCAAAACCTATGTAATAAAGACAAGTGAACAAAGCATTGTGTACTAATGGATTTGTTCCCTTTCAACCTAAATACCTAGTTTCAGATCTTCTTACTTATAGTTTATATCAATGATTTCAACTTGTGGTTAAATCCAATGGCTGGATTGATTGATCTGCTACTTAGAAAAATTCTGAGTATGTTACAACCCAAACCAAAAGTTGGATTGATTGACTTGTCACTCAGACAAATTTCTGAGTATGTTTCACCCAAACCAATTTGTTGCAAAAAACATTGTTTTGCTGAACAACCATATGACCTTACTGGTTCAACTATTGACCTTTTTGACCAGGTCAATAAGCCATGGGTAAGATTAATTTTTTTTTTTTTTATCAATATGGGTAAGACATCAATTCTTTTTTTTTTTTATCAATATGGATAAGACATTAGTTCTTTTTTTATCAATATGGGTAAGACATTAATTCTTTTTTTCTTTTTTGTATATTTAGCCATTTCCATATTTAATAACAATAATTTCCATTTTCAAAACATACTTTTGTTAAATATGAAGAATATATAATATTAAAGACATGCTAAAATTTTCTATACTTTTGTTTGCTTTTATTAATTTATGACATCACAAAATTGACTTGTTTGGGAGGGAATTGCAATTTGAATAATTTTTTAGAACATTAGTTTTTATCCCATGGTCAAATTAACTGGTTAAACTCAACCCATCACTTGACCAAGATTCTAGGTCTATTTACCACCAAACTACTTCCTTGTAAAAAGCCATTGACTTGGTTAACAACATGGTGACCAAGATAAATGAACAATTGAACAATTTTGACCCAACTAGTGGGGTCACAGGTTAGATATTAGTTTTTTTTCCTTAAATTTGTATCCATTCCCATCATTAATAAAAATTATTCTTATTTATTACATTTATTATTTTTAATATGATGAATATATAACATTAGAGATCTGTCCAAAATTTTCTACAAATTTCTATATTTTGTAGAACTTTATGAATTTCATCATCATCCATGCCTTATCCCAACTATATGGGGTTGGCTACATGAAATTTGTTTTGCCAATCTGTTCTATTTAAAGATAGAATTTTATGAATTTGTATTATCTAATAATTACCACTTCATGGGTTGACCCATTTAACCTTGATAGTTGTACCATTAACCCACGGCCTGGATGGAAAGAACTGTTTTGGTTTTTGGGTTGATTTTAAACTTTGCATTCTATTTTCATCATTAAAAAGAGTGATTTTTATTTTTACTCTTAACTTTTCTTTAATATTATGAATATATAACATTAGACATGTATCCAATTTTTTTTTCTACAAAATTTCTGTATTTTGTATTTCTATTTGTTTTAAATATTTATTACTTAATTATCACGGGTTGATGCATTAGACTTAGAAGATTGGACTTTTGACCCACCACCTAGATATAAAAATGATTTTATTTTCAGATTGGTTTTAAATTCTGTATTTCATTTACATAATTTAGAAAAACAATTCTTGTTTATCATATTTATTTTTCTTTAATATGATTAATATTAGAGATGTATGTTTTAAATTTTTTTGTATTTTTCTATTTCTAAAAAATTTATTTTTTTAACTATGATATCAATGGTTGGCCCATTTGACCCAAATGATTGAACCATTGGCCCATCACCTAGATAGGAAAATAGTTTCATTTCTAGTTGGTTTTTATATTTTGTATTCCATTTCCACCATTAATAAAAATGCTTTTTATTTGTCATATTTGTTTTTGTTTAATATGATGAATAAATAATATTAGAGATATGCCTAAAACTTCTACAAATTTTGTTTATTTTTTTGTAATTTTATCTATTTTTAAATTTTTATTATTTAATTATAGCATCAGGGTTAAACCCATTTGACCCAAATGGTTGAGCCGCTTACTCACCACTTAGGCGGTTTTGTTTTAGGGTCAAATTAGAAAAATATAGGTTTTTATACGATTAAAAATAATTGTGTGTGAATTTAATTAATGGAATTTAATGAGAAACAAACATACCTTAAACAATGAGAGAGAATGGGAGTTAATACTTGAATATAGGACTTAATTAAAGGGAACTGAATAAACTGAATAGCAACATCGAAATTATGCTTTTTGCCCTCACAATAGAGAGAGACTAAAAATAAAAAAGAGGGGTATTTTAGTTAAGAAAACGTCCAGAAATCTTAACCTCATTCATACCTTTTATAGTAAGATATAGATTTAAATTATGCGGTTTTGTTTCCAAGGCATTTTGTCCATAAATCTAATTTCGCATTTGACCCCTTCCTAGTTTCATCAATTAATACCATGTCATCAGCAATCTTGGATTGTCACTTCTAGTTATAAAATTTTTTAAATAAATTTCTCATACTTTCCTAGATATCCCTCGAACCCTAAGCTACTAGTGTTTTCACTATCCTACCTAAATGGTATTTTTACCCAACACCCATATTTTCATTGAATCTGAACCATTTGGAAACTTTTTAGGCACCCAAACCAACCCTACTTGCCCAAATTTCCTTCAGTAGTAAACCTTTCATCTCCTTTTGTTAGTTCCTAATCACTTAAAGCCTACATTTGCAGGACATCTACCCTGCTTTACATCACTCTACATTCTGCAGCAACTACCTAATCAGACAATGAAGAAATGAAGCAAGGACACTTAAAAGCTATGATGCCTCGATAGATAAGGAGATGGACACAGATACAGGAAACAAGGTTACAACTCTCCATTTTCTAAAATCCTAGACAGGAGCAAGGGTACAGGTATCCCATCTAATATGCTTAAATCATGCTTTTGTATCTAGTTTTTAAAGCTAAGTGTCATTTTTTAAGACTTGCCTCAACAAATTTATCTAATTTCTAACAAGTAAAGATTTTTTTATAGCATAATTTGTTAAAACATATCATTTTATATATTTTAAAAGTGTTAATGCTATTGTTTACATCTAGAAGTGTCCATGTAGTATCTGGTATTGTATCCAGTAAGTATCATGTCTGACATTGGTATGTTAGGCATGTAAAGTATCCAGGTATCATAGTTTAGAAACTCAAACATTGGGAATATGTCTGGATTGATGCATCTTTAAGAGGTGTACCAGGAAAGAATTAATCAATCGGAATTTAACCTGGTAAACGACAACAGCTGCATATGCACCTAAGAAGATACTTGATACCATTGATCCTAAAATGGCTCCAATAACTGCCAATGGCCATAGTAGGATTGCAAGCCCAGCAAATGGTACACATATGGTCTCCAAGAAAGGGCCTTCCCGACCTATAAGATCATGAAACAATTGGCGCCATCCCTTGAAAAGCATGTAAGGGCTCTTGTATAGGGCAACAACTGTGATCACTGGTAAGTCAACCATAAAACCAAGAACTCCAGCTAAAAGAGCACCTGGAAGATAAAGCAATCTACAAAACAATAAAGTGTGCATTACAGTTATGTAATTCATAACTGAAAATTTTATTGAAATACAAAGGAAAATATAAGACCACAGTGGGGGATCAAGCCAGACCCTTAACAAATAAAGACCATAATCAACCAGGAGATCTGACCCTGACAAAATTCAAGATTGATTTGACATGCTTGTGTATCAGATAGATCATAATTAATAACCAAATAAGGAAAATGCAGGAACAAAGACACTGTAGGAGAGATGTGCAGAATCATTTAGAGTTGGATAGCCTCAGCCAATCCCCTGCATGTGTGGCACACCAACCCTAATCTGTAGAGGATGGTTTCTTCCAATCCTCCTTTCCTGGCATTAGGATGGCATTTTTCAATCCTTTGGTCCAAGGGTTAAATAAATCCATGTCATGTGCCCCACGCTACATGGAGGCATGTAGGAGTTTGGAATCTCACATGGATACAAGGTGTCAGGAGCCTGGAAAAATAGGATTCAAAAACTCAGTGAGCAATACCATACGTCTTAAGATCTGTTTTTCTGTAATATATGCTTATCAATATTAATTAATGAAATAATTGTTTGAAAAGGGAGCAGATTATGTTTAGAAGAATAAATCGATAAAAATAGACTAAAAGGGCCATTACCCAATTATGATCCTGGTTATCCAGGGTCTTGGGAGGGGTAAATTGGACATGGACCTAACCTTAGGCATTTTTTTGCACACAGTTGGTTCTCTCATACATGAACCCGAGTTCTCATACCTGTTAGCCTGATATTTTACAAGTGGCCCCTAAACAGTTAGAACAACTTACAATGCACTGGTTAAGTCTACAGAATTCAAATTTAATGCTCAAATTTTATCCTGGGACTAAAGTTTTTTTAGTTGCATATTACAGATTCAGTAAGGAAAAGAAAAACACCCAGGTCTTATGCAGGAGTCATTTTCAGTAACCACACATGTAGATATGCAACCCATCCATATTCTCAATGAGTTTAACATATGATGGGCCTATTAAGGTGGTATGGAATATCATCAATCTACCAAGGTGAGTGGAGTGGAGCAATGAGTTGTCACAATGGCCTTTGAGAGCTTTTGTGATTACTTTATGTCATATCTTTTCAATAGACATCTTGATTTGAAATAATCTCAAGGTTGAACCATGGAGCATGCCCAATGAAATTAAGAACACAACCTGCTGTAAGATTGTAAAGTGTAAATAGCTTATACATGTCGAAAAGGCCCTAGGCATTGTGAAATATATTGTTCTCTAATCATTTGCTAAGTTTGTGTATGTGTGTATACGAGAGAGATGTACACTAAAATTTCATTCAGGAGTCACTGTTAATGTTCACATGTGTTGACACAATGCATTTTCCAATAAGTCCATGTAACATAAGATAGGACTAGAAGGACAGAATGAAGTATCACCAATTTGCCAAATTGAGAGGAGAAATGAGTTGCCAGAGGGGCTGTCCTGAGAGGTCTAGTGAATACTCCTAGGGGTGCAATCAAATTGAGCTTTAATTGAACAGTTCGGGCTCAAATTTGATTTATATATATATATGTGTGTGTGTGTGTGGGGGTGTATGTATGTATGTATGATCAGAACTAGAGCTTATTGAATATATAGTCGTGCCAGAATTAAACAGGAAAAGAATTCAAATCAAACTTGAACTCAAATTCGAATATAGGAGTATTTTAGTTGAACCGAGGCAAGACATGCTGAAGTTCAGCTCGGCTCAGCTCAATTGCACCCAAATTACTCCTCTCATTTGTTTGATAGACACCTTGATTTGAAAATACAACCTCAAGGTTGTGGAATGGAGCATACAAAAATATCAGAGTTTATAAATATCTTGTTCTCCACTCATTTCCTAAGCTTTGGGCATGCATATGAGAGAGAGAGAGAGGTGGACACTTCTGTTTATGATTCCTATTAACTTGTAGTTTTGTATTTGAACTTAGACTAGAAATGAACTGAGAATGCTACCATTAAATGCTCTTTTATTAAGGCAGGATAAATGCTAGAACATCCATCATGCAGAGGTACAAGTTTTTTTCACCACAGAAGTTGGATACTATAATGAGAGCACAAGTTTCTAATTAAAGGTAAGTAGTTTCATTGGCTAACAAGAGCATTGCCACATGGACCAGAAGAAAAGGAACTTTTGACAAATTAAAACACAAAACCTGATCTCATATGGTTTCCCATCAGGAGGTCCTTGAAGGTGGAGGTCATCCATAACTGAGAAATAGGAGTGAAAACAAACATTGGTAAGGTTCTTAACCACCATAAAGCTTTTCAGTACAGTGCTCCAAGTTCCATCCTATAAATGTAATGAAATGAAATGTGTCAATTAGGGAATGGGACTAAACATGGTAAATGATTACTAAGAAACACGATTGATCTTCTCAACATACAATAATACAGTGGACAAATTTATCTGTTTTCCCTTCTCCAACAGCTTTAAAGGTGGCAAAAAGTGGTTGCAGAAAGCCATAGCCTGCGCCTGCTAGGATACTCCCAACAATGCCAAAAAGTGGCCACAGAATCAAGAGAACAGGAAGACATGCACAAAGGACAAGCTTCAAAACTGGCCCAAGTTTTTTGGTTCTGCCTTAAAGAGAATACTAGCAAATCAATGAAAATGAGAAGGAAGGCAACTGCAAGATATAAAAAAAAGAGCAAGCAAGCAAGGTGATAAAACACTAAAGGGTTAGAGTAAAGTACATTGCAATGCAATAATATGTCCAGATACTGTGCACTAGCCATAGTCCCAAAATGACCGCTGTGTTTCCAATTGTGATTATTAGGCAAATCAATGGGCAGAAAATGGCACCTGTGCAAGAATGAATAAATAAGTAAAAACCATACTAGATATATTGTCATCTTTGAAAATCAACCTGATGTACAGACTATAGAAAAATGAAGCCTCTGACTGGATCTTATTAAGTATTCTCATTGTCTTCAACTGCCAATCATAAGCCTGGATAAGAAAGGAGGGTTGTCACAGGTTGGTGATCAACATAAAACTTTTGCAAAACTCTTATGGACGTGGATCCTGAACCATCATTGTTTTGAGATCATGATAGCCCATTTTGAAAAGTAACACACAAATAATAAAACTACAAACTATGGTAAGCAAGGAAGTTAGTGCAAGAGACAAAAATGTGATTGGCAACTTGGAATCTAGGAATGTTAACAAATAAGGTCATGGAATTAGTAAAGGATTGGTCTCCACCATCAGCACACTGTTGGAAGCCAAACTTTGATGGTTGTAGCATTGGAGGCCCAGGACCTGCAGGCATTGGTGGGGTTATAAGAAATATGAATGGGGAGTTCATTGCTATCTTCTCAGGACCAATAGGAGTTGCAGATTCTACAATAGCAGAATTGAAGACCTTACTTCAAGGACTAAAGATCTGTAAAAGGATGAGTTTGGGCAGCATTTTGGTGGAAGGCTATTCCCAGATGGAGATGTAAGGCACAGTGCAACATGACATAATTTTACAGAGGCTAAACAATTGGCCAGAGAACTGAGTGTGGTTTGGAGCTGGACTTATAGATCAGCAAACAGTGTAACTGACTAACCTGCAAAACAAGAAGGCAATAGGGATGATTTGTACTGGGGAGTGAGTAATATTACTTTTGTAAATACAGTTAAGGGTTCAGGGTTGGGTAGCTGAGGCTAGCCTAAATCTTGTAATTACTCTTTATATATTACTTTTAACCAATGGATATAATTTTAATGTTGCCTATCAGAAAAAAGAAAAGGTTGAGCACAGGACAATATAGTTTTAATGTTGCCTATCAAAACAAACACTCATTTTTCAAATAGTGATTCTTTGTAGCAGAATTCTGACCAAACAAGGCCATTACCCAGAGTTGGTCCCAGCCATCTGGGGTCTTGGGAGAGTAGAGTGGGTAAAGTCCTAGCTTTTGGATTTTTTCCCCCACTAAGTGGTTACCCTCAGACTCGAGTTGAGCCTGTATTATCATGCTTGCCAGCCCAAGAATTTACCATTACACCAAATAATTCTAACCAAACATATGTTGACCTAATTTAGGAACATTTAAGATGGTGCACTGATTGGTATTAAACAGTGAGAGACATTAGAATTTGTAATTGCAAATGGAGTTTCCATAGTATGTGATATTTGTGGATGACAGAGTATTAATTGACAACATTAGGGTGGGGTTTAATGTATAAATAGAACTATAATCAAAAGTAAAGGTTTTAAGATATGTACAACTCAAACAGTATATATAATAACATGAATGAGAATTAATATATAATTAGGCCATGTTGGGTGCAACTCTCATTCTTGTTCATTCTTTCCAATAATAAAATTATAGAATGAACAAAATGGATAGAAATGGGCAGAATGAGAAAATAGTGCTATGAACCAAACACCTTTTTTTTTTCAAAAAAAAAAAATAATTCTTTTTGTGGCAAGAATGAGAATAAATTTTGAATGCATTTGGTTACAAGTTTCAATTTTTATTCTTTTTTCTTTCACCAACCAAAATAATAATATAAGTATACATATTAGCAAATATATAGTGAAAACATGAAAGCCTATGCCAACAAAACACAAATCAACCATGTTGGCCCCACATCAATAACACAAAATATGAATAAGAAAATAAAAAAGCTTTTGCATTTGGTTGCATAGAGAAAATATAAAAGTAAATTTAAAACTAATTGCTGAATTGAGTAGGTAGTTATGCAAATGAAGAAAAGAACTTGCAACTTCTAAATAGAAATGGAATCTAAAAATAGTAAAATTAAAAAAAATAATAATAACATGAAGAATATAAAATGTCTAACAACTTTATCAAATTGATAATAGTATATTGAATAAAGATAATATATTAAGAAAGTTATAAAATATAATAAAATATCATATAATCGTGCCCCATGTTGGCTCATGTTCATTCTCCACAGAAGCTCTGTGCTGGCGGTGATAAACCGCCTTACTAGGCATCGAAACCGTCGGTATAGATTTTGATGGGCAGGTGGCCGGCTGTAGTAGCCGATGGACGGTTGAGAGAAAGAGCAAAGTACTACTTTACACTAGTACCTTCCGAGCAAAGAGCAAAATCTGCATACCCAAGACTCGAAAACAAAAGAAACGACATTGGCCAAAAGATAAGTAGCAAGAAACCAAACAGAAAATCTATGGAGAAGAAAGCCGTTGAAAAAAATAAAAAGTACTAACCTTTAATGATGCCCAGGAGGAGAAGCCCGATGAAGAAGGGTAGAAAACGGAGAAAGCTCAATAAGGAAGCCAAGAACTCCTTAGGAGGCTCCATCTCTCCTCACCTAGATCTCCAAAATCACTTCAAACCCATTACAGAAACAGGGGAATGATGGACACGCGACAACTCGCAGTCTCTGTCTTGTTTTGCTCTCTCTCTCCCTCCGAAGCTACTCTCGTGATCGTGAGAGCAAAGGTCGAAGTGAGTGGGAAGAGTGTGGACCAAGGCAAGACAGTGAGATAGAGGAATGTTTACAGTTAAAGCAAGGCTAACTACAACTACAACTAAGAAGTCAGAACATTGTACGACGAACCCAGAAAAGAAGCTGACTAAGTAATTAACTGACGAGATTGAAGAAGGGATTAGGATAATTATTACAAAAGCCAAACAGTCAACGCCACTCGAATTCAAATGTTCTGGTCAACCAACAATGACAATGATTTTTTTTTTTTTTTTTGACGAGAGTAACAATGACAATGATTTGAACTTGGAACAAAAAATAAAAAAATCTTAGCAAGAACAAGATGGTGCAACCTTTTATGCCGATTTCTTGGTTACCCAATAAATAAATAAAGGCATTTGTCTCTTTTCAAATGGAGGTGAGCCATGAGCTGAGGCGGACAAAAAGAAAATGATTCCGGTTGCACACTCAGGCCTCAGCTGTGCTTCACTTGTTCTCCATCACCCATCCGTTCCGTCGCTTGCCTGACAGAAATTCGAGTTTGTGAGATTTGAGCTCTGATGGTGGCTTTTTATCGAAGTTAACACTAACAATGTTAAAATGCGAGAAATCCACTAATCCCTTTTCCACAAGCACAAGCAATGTTAACGTGAGAAGGGTTTGCCAGTCTTTCAGTCATCCAACAGTTTAGCCTGAGAACTGCTTTCGTGTCGAATTTATCCTCCAAAGATGTTCTCATCAGTCATCACGAGGATTCGGTTCTACTCAGAGACAGTGGTGGACTTTATCACTTTATGCGCTTACGTATAAAAATCAAAACCTGTAATTCTTGTGCTTCAACTCATGAGAAATAAGTTTTGGTTCATGATAATTACTAGTATATAATTATTTTCTTCTATTTTACTCAAAACTCAATGTGGAATTTAAAAAGAAGGGTAAATTACAAAGACCCCTGGCACTCAGCGACAATTATTCCCCTGAATTTTCATTTGTGACCAAGACCCCTTGAATTTTAATTTTGCGATAAATGCCATCATCATTATTTTATAGACCTCCAAACTACCTTTTTCTTATTTATTTGAATGATTTATAATTTGATTAATTTTTTATATATAACATTAAAACCCCCTCAGTTGTTTCGATAGATTTTTGTAGATTTTTTATTGGATTTAATATTCAAATTAAATGGTAGAGGTTTCTTTCTAATAGATATAAAATTATGGTTTCATTTGTTTTTTCTTGATTTATTAGAGAAATGAGTGGATAATGAATCCAATAAAAATTTTGCAAAGATCTATTAGAACAACCAAAAGGACTTCAATATTATATTTAGAAAATTAATGGAATCATAAAGTGCTCAAATAAATAAGAAAAGGGTAGTTTGGTTATTAAAAAATAAATAAATAAACAATTGAATGAGAATTTTTTTAAAGTTAGCTAACAGAAATGTAACGAAAGTTTTTCTTTTTTTCTTTTTTTTTTATTTGTTGCAAATGAAAGTTCAGGGGATCATGGGGTAGGAATAGAGCAACAAGGGTACAATTGAACTAAGATGAGCCAAATTTTGGCATGTGTTGACTTTGTTTGAATAAAATACTCCTATATTCAAGTTCAAGTTTGATTCAAACTCTGTTTTTCCAATTCAAGCTTGGTTAAACAAAATATTCAATAAGTTCGAGTTTAACTTGAAAGCTCGAAAAACTAATATACTTTTATAGTTATACTAATCAAGGCTAAGCTCGCGAGCTTTCAAGCTGAACATTTTTTTTATCAAATTTGAGATTGAATAACTAATCAAATTTTCCTTGGGATTCAAACTCAATCCAAACTTGATTAACATTGAGTTTGAATTGAGCCTAATCAAACCTAAGTCTAAACCGTTCGATTAAAACTTAATTCAATTGCAACCTTACAGAACCGGGTGCACGTGAGGTCCATTAAACTTATAGAGCTGAGTCAGCATTTGTACATGAGGGGGTGCCGAATGATCATTGGAGTACTTAGGTAATAGAATTTATTCCAAACGTGACCTTGTAGTCTCAAAGGTGATTCTGCACAACAAAATTTATACCAAATGGATCCTTACCTACTAAAGAAATGGATTATTTTTCTTAAAAAGCTAATGAAATTTTTAGCGTTGGTAGGATAATTCAAGCTACACTATGTGAATTTTAGCCCTTATGCCTATAAAATAAAGAAAACCTAGCTAATATAATAGGTAGAATCTTTTAGCAAGTTTCCTAATTCGATCCAATTAGAGAACCTTTTTCCATGCATATTAATATTATAAATAGAAAAAAAAAATAAATTCAGATATTTTTGGAGAAACATGGGAAACATAATATGATCCTACAACCATATAGAGTTGTGGTGGACATATTAAAAAAAATTACATCCCAGTTTACTCCAGTAGCTACTAATAAGCCGCCTCTAAGTTCAAACCATGTAATAATGATATATCAGAAATGTTTATATAGGTAAATTCTCATCCTGATAAGTGTGAAATTACAAATTTATTTGACGCTGAGAGAAGCTATTTTGTGAAACAGAAATGTTAAAGATTTTGAAGGTGTTTGGAATCGTGGACATTTATTCAATAAATGATGTTAGATAGATACCACTTCAACAATTCCTCTCTCATTTTCTTCCACATTGAGAATAGCAAAAGGTGACTTCAGTTTCTGTGCACTCCTATTGTTTGGGGAAGTTATTTTTTTTTAAGCTTCCCCCAATGGTTAGACGTATTTTTACTGTTATGCTGATGTAGTGCCTAATAGCGCCTATTTGTCATAAACGGTTATAGTGATTACCTTTCTCGATTTTGCAAATAAATAAAGTATAAACATTAAATGAAAAAACCTAAATAAAACCAAATACATAAGATTTTTTTAGTGGTTAAATGAAAACTAATTCATTAAACAGAAAAAAAAAAACTTATAACAGAAGGAAATCGGAGTCCATGGAAGCATAAGTCCCCAGAGGTTTTGGCCCATTGAGCTAAAAAGTGAATAGACTTGGTAAAGGCATGAGGTTTATAAACAAACTTAACAATAAGAAAGGAATTTAAAGGGTCATAAATAAAATCAAACCACCTGGTTTTCCAAAAACCAAGGTGTTATACAACATTCCCTGTTCAACAAGTCCAAAATAGCTTTAGCATCTGACCATATGTTATACAACATTCCCTGTTCAATTTAGTATTAACAATTTGCTATTACTAATAACACTTCAAAACTTGGAGGTATTTTTAGATTAAAAAATTTCCTAATGTCATCAAATTCAATTGAGTATTAACAATTTAACAATTTCCTAATAACACTGAAAATTTACCATTACTAGAGCTTCTATTCAAACATACTTTATCTTGATCACCTCCAAAGGCATGACTATTAACAATTTTGCCCACAATAATAATTGGAAAGACTTGATTTAATTTAGTTCTATCCAGTTCTTAGAATTCTGATCCACAAAGTCTCAACTAACAAACATTCCTGGTTGTTAGTCATAGCTCTTAAAGGAAACTCAAAAGCATTAGTATTCATGACGCACGGAAAAGATCAAATATCTAAATTTGATTTCTAGCAAACATGCATACCCAATACCCAACTTAGGAAGAAAAAAAAAAATACTAAAGATTAGGTCTATATCTAATCCACCTTTTCCAAGACTCTGGATAACTCGGATCAACATTGCGTAATGGCTTTCTCTAATATCTATGGTTCTTACCCGATTTGAAGCATACTCAACAATTTCGAATTTAAAGTGAAGTGGCTTTATAACTCATAAACCCGTGCTTGTTTTGTTCTTTCCTTGGAGCTCATATTGGGGCCTCACATGCACATCTCAGCATGCATTGAGAATTAAGGGTGTAAATAAATCGAATTCGAATTGAATCAGACAATATTCGAATTTAAATCTGATTAAAAAATTTGATATCCGATAGATACTGAAAAATTAATATTCGAATTCGATTAAATATTTGAATATTCAATTCAATTCGAATTTGGATATTTAATTATTATATATATATATATATATAAATTATAAAATATTATATATAAGAATTAAATAATCGATTGAACTCGGATATTTATCGAATCAAATCAGGTCATATCCAAATTTAAAATGATAGATTTTTGAGACCCTAAGATTAATTATATTAATCATGAAATATAATTCAAAGAGTTTATTTCATTATACATTATATATAGTATTTTGTTATATATTATATATTCGGTTAAGGTTTGATTTGATTTCTAAAATTCAGGAAATCAAACCAAAATCATAAAGAACCTCAAACCGCTTTTATTTCCATGCCAAACCATACCACAAATTTCAGCTTGGTTCAGTTGGATTTAGTTTGGCAATTTGGACTATATAATAAACACCCTCCCTATAGCCAAACCCTTGCTATATGTCCAAAATTAAGCCATTCTGTGGGCATGTTCTATGGCTAATATAGGGATGATTTGAACCGAGGGATATCCACTGGTGGATGGTTCAGATAAGCCACATCATCCTTGCGGGTGATAAAACATTAAAACTGGAGTAGAGAGAGAGAGAGAATCTTCCACCTCATCAGCTTGCCCACATGGAGAGATACCCTAGAGTTACCAACCACCATTACGAAATATAGATAACAAAAATATAGCTTTAAAAACCATTTTTCAAAGGGCGGAGAGAAACCCACGTAACGTAGAAACCAAACCAAATTACAAATGCACAAAGAAAAGAAAAGACAAAGTACCTAATCTCCATTTCTTATTCAACATATATTCCAGTATGGAATTATGAGCTAAGATCCATGTCCCTACGCGGTATATAAACAAAGTCCCTAGGGCCCTAAGATAATGCCTAAAACCAAAGATGGCAACCCTTTTAGAGGACCAACCAACCAGTCGATGTGATTTTGTGTGGCCCGCCATTCAAGCAAGCGCCTTACGCCCCCCATGTGCGTTAACTCCCCTCCTGCCCCAACAAAATCGGCAGAAAAATCTCGCTAGTTGACAGGTTCCATCCTTTTTATGTACTACGTGGCACCATCATAGTCGTCCATTATCATACAACCAAACTTTTCACAACACCACGGGCAGAACCGCAGAAAGCTACCATTTTAAATGTTATTTTAGTCCCTTCTTCTTTCTTTTGTGTCTTCACTACTTCACGCGCTCATCAACTTCCTATATAAGTAGTTTCTTTTCAAGTTTCACCAACCGTCTTCCTCTCCCCCTCGAGTTAGAGAGACAGAGAAACAGAGAGATGATTAGATTTAGTGTAAAGAGGTTTTGCAGGAGCAACTCTAAGCTTAGCGCAGGCGGTGGTGGTGGTGGTGGTGGTGGTGACAACAGCACAGGAGGGTCCGGCAGGGGATGTGGAGGTGGTGGTGAAATAAAATGGGAGCTCCGACCTGGAGGGATGCTGGTTCAGAAGAGAGAAAATGGGGAAAGTGAAGGTGAAGGAATGATCACGGTTAGAGTCTCAACTGGATCTGAGTGGCATGGTATCTCCATTGAAGCAACTTCAACTTTTGGTAATCCATCATCTATCTTTCTCTGTTTGTTGGGTTATTAAAATGGAAAACAATAGATTCTTCATCGTTTATATATATCCTTGTCTTGCTGATTTTTACAGGGGAACTAAAGATGATTTTATCATTGGTGACCAACTTGGAACCAAGAGAGCAGAGGCTCTTGTTCAGAGGGAAGGAGAGAGAAGACAATGATTTCTTACACATGGTTGGGGTTAGAGACATGGATAAGGTGCTGTTGTTGGAAGACCCAGCTAACAGAGAGAGGAAACTTCATGCTTTGTCCCAAGACAAAGCCATTGGGAATCCTTGTCCAACCATTAGCGTGTAATCTGATTAATTAATTGTTTTTCTACTAACCACGTAACGACGTTTAATCAATGTTTTGTATCAACTATGAGAACACCCACTTGTTACTAGCTTGTTAGTATTTCTTCTCTCTCTTTCTCTCTCTCAAAAAGGTTATAATGGTTTCTTTTTTGTGTTTGGTTTGATAGAAAATAAGAGAGAAACAAGAGAGTTGAGGGAGAAAGTTATTTTTAGGGATTTCACAAGATTTATTAAGAATTTCCACTCAACTTTATGAGTCTCTCTTATTTCCTATCAAACCAAACATGGCCTTAGAGTTGCTTACCAAATTGCCTTCACAACGTGCAAGTGGGAAGTTGACTTCAATGGGGATTATAGCTGAAAAAACACAATAGGTAGCCACAGTAACCTGACCCAATTCGCATTAATATTTTCACCAGCTTTGTTCCGTTTGTGTTGATGTTGTTAGCATCAAAATTAGGGTTAATTATTTATATATACCTGCACTTAAATATACTCTCAACTTTCAAAATGACAAAATCTACTTATATAAACCCTCGTTGACCTTTCAAAATTAGGGTTAATTATTCTTCTTCCTTTTTTTTTCCTTTCATTTTTCTTCCCACCGCACTCTTGCTCCCTGCTCTGGAGTCTAGACGAGAATCACATCGACCACCGCTGGTTCCAGATTGCTCTGGTGCCAGAGGTCAATGTTCTCTCAAGCCGATGGGCAAGCCCGGAGTGCTAAGTTGAACCATTTGTCTCTGGGCTTGACACTTGAAGCTGAAGACAGGGACGAAGATTGTGACAAGAGAGCCTGCTTATCACTGTAATTCCGGGAGGAAACAGGGGACATTGACTCCAGTATTATGTGCAAACTCTTTGCGAAGAACCCATTAAATATCTGCTCGATTTTTGCTGCTCTCTAAACAAAAAATTTAATCAATGTAAAGCCATTGTAATTTGTGAACTCGAAACTCAATCGTCCATCGAAAACTGTGAAATAGAAAACTTCAGAATCCATTTAAAAATCCACCGTCGCCGCAACAGAGGATTCAGTCGTCGTTAGGCAAATCGTAAGCTCACTAGGGCCGTCTTGACACTGTGTCACGGTCTAACAGACGCTTAACCTTGACTATGCTCGGCGGGTTTACGTTAAAGGACACCAACATCATTTTCGCTTATAAGATTTTTTAGAGAATTGATGTTATCTTCAGGTAGACCACTAAAAGCTTAACGTACCCTTTGAGAAGGGGTGGTCGACCTCATTGGGTGCTTAACCTTGGCACTCCTAAACCATCACCCCTTGCGGGGAGGCTCTGGTTAATGGCTAGCATGGTTCCCCATACATGCTCATGGGGACAGTGCATGGACCAGCACTGCGCTATCAACACTCATGGGAGGCTTGAATTCTCTAACAAGTTTGACAATTGTAATTGCCTCTCATAAACTTTTTGACAGTTGCAAATAGATCCCCTTTGTTAAATTCTCTAACAAAAGACATGAAAATATCCAAAATACCCATGCAATAACTATTGAAGTTGTTTTCTACATAAAATCAATACAAACTTTATGAACAACAAAAATAAATAATAATAATAATAATAATAAAAGAATGAAAAAAAAACCTCCAACATTCCACTAATATAAATTAAAAATGATCAAATGGGGATGATAAAATTATGTAGCTGAGACCAGTAAGGGAGAAGAATGAATAATGGTGGAAAGAAAACAGCAACCCAAATTACACCTACACTATTGAGTCTCAGATAAGCCATTGCGATTTTGAATTGGGAAATTCTTCAGAGGTTAAAATTTATCTCCCATTACGTAATATCTGTAGAGATGTTGGGAGTTTGAAATTAAGGACAAAACTGAAAGGCCTTGTGTTTTGGCTCCTTGTCTTTTATGAGCAAGTTGGTGCTCCCATCATCATCAGGCTTATCTCTAAGAAGTTCATCACTTTTATCGTTTTGTCAATCCAAAAATAGAGAAGGGGAAAAGCACCCCAACGAAACAAAGAATGCTGTAACGACAGGTTTGTCTTCCCTGACTGACCTGCAGCTAGCTAGCTTCCTCATTGAAATTCAAGTTGATGATATTTTATATATGAATCGAGTTTAGGGTTAATACTACCTGCATTCCTAGTCATATATGTTTGTTTTCTTTCCTTTTTTTCCTTTCTTTCTTTCTTTCTTATTTGGCACTGGTGCACTTAGCTTGTTCTCTTCTGCGCATATCTTGGGGGGTAGCTGTTGAGCTTTTCTAGCTAGTTTTTGTTTTTCTTTCCTTCAGCCAAGTGTTTATTTGTTTATTTCAGTAGTAGTAAGCGTGAGGGTGAAGAGCTGAAGGTGATATATGGTGATGGATGGTGTGTTGCTGCTGTTGACAGAAGATAGAGAGCACAAATGCACATACCCAAGAAGGCTTGCGTTTGTGCACTTTTGTGCTCTCTTCTTCTGTTAACAAAACAGCACACGTCTTTGTGTTCCGACTCCTTGATCTGATTTCATCATTTGATTCAAGTTGAAGGTTGAAGGTGAGCTTTTAACTTTATTTATACATCTTTTAACCCACAACCCCCTACCCCCTCTCTCTTTGTTTTTGTTAATGCAATTAGCAGAACTTTGGGTAAATGGGTTCATCTTTTCTCAAAATTGAGTGAAGATTCTGAATCACAGAGGACTGTATGTAGTTAGGAAAAGGCTTAGATAATGATAGTGAGGAAGAAAATAAATTTGAATAAAAACCTATAGTGAAAATAATTGGAGGATTTATGGTCCATCAAACCCCACAGTACAGAAATGGGCGTGGTCGGGCCCATCTGGACGGGTCTGAAATGGGTATCTTCTGCCTTATCTAATTCTCTACTCTTTTGGTAACGGATAGCGATATATCATTACTCATAAATCCAAAATCACGTATATGTTTTAATTATTTTGTGTCTGAAAGCCAAGGTCATTAGCTTATTAGTTGTGGTGGAGTAAATGTGGACGAGTATTAATCTACCATGCAGCCATAGGGAGTCAGCTGAAACAAAGACAATCATGCAGCATGAAAAAGATATTAACCATTAATTTTTAACAACCTTGAACAAAACTATCCCATCCGGGAAGATAAAATGATGAGAAACCCTAACACCCCACATTTCTATTTTCTTTGTTGATAAGATGATAGAAACCCCATCTCATGTATTGTTTGGATTGAATTGGGAGTCTCCGGATTGAGTTTGTCTACTTTGCTAGTTATTTTGTTCAGTATGGTATTATTCATCAAACCACTTGTGTCGAAACCTCTCAATAAAACGGGAGGGTTGAACACAAACACCGGCACGTACTCAATGTTGCCCAAGCATTGCGTTTTCAAGCTAGCATGCCTATTGATTTTTGGGGGGAATGTGTATTGACCGCATGTTATTTGATCAATCGGACACCGTCCATTCTATTGAAAGGAAAGACTCCCTATGAAGTTTTATTTGGGTGACCTCCTTCTTATGATAATGTGCGAGTTTTTGGTTGCTTGGCATATGTGCACAATCATGGACATGGAGGGGATAAATTTGTGTGTGTTTTTGTTGGATATCCTTTTGGAAAGAAAGGATGGAGCTTGTATGATTTAGAGTCCGACACATTCTTTGCATCACGAGATGTTACCTTTTTAGAGGATGAATTCCCTTATGCACGCAAGGAGGATAAACAACCAAACAAAGCACAAGGCCAATTTCATTGTGGAATAAGTGGGATAGATGAGGTGTTGGTGCCGTCCACTTATTTACCAGGACAAACAAATGGCAAGATGGAGACTAACCAGCGAGGTTAACTTGCAGAAGAATGAGTCAGTGTAGAAGAAGGAACCCACGTAGACCCAAATGCCAATACTAGTGAACCCATGCATTCTTCTAACGTCACCACAGAAAATACAAGTGAAAACAGTCCTGACGTCAGAGGGGTGGCAATGTTGAGCAACAACAGCACTCTGATTCTCATTTAGGGCGTGGGCATCGACGGAAACAGCAGTCCACAAGGTTAAGAGACTATGTGCTTCACACCACACAGCGCTTGAGTCCCTCTCCRCGTCCCTTTGCAAKCTCACTCAGCCAATCACATCCTGCAGGTAGTCCTTATCCCATAGATAACTATGTGAATTATAACAATTTTTCTTGTCGACATCGTGCTTTCTTGGCAGCTATTATTGCAGGAGTTGAACCTACTTCTTTTGCTGAGGCCGTAAAAGATGAAAAATGAAGGGATGCAATGCAGAAAGAAATACAGGCACTTGAGAATAATCAGACATGGACCGTAAAGCCTTTGCCATTCGGAAATGGGTATATCGAATCAAGTACAACGCTGATGGGACAATGGAAATATACAAAGCCTGTCTCGTGATCTTTGGGAACAAGCAGATTTAGGGAATTGATTATAATGAAACTTTTGCCCCAATTGCAAAAATGGTTACTGTCCGTACCTTTCTTGCAGTCGCAACAACTAGAAATTGGGAGTTTCATCAAATGGACGTACATAATGCATTTTTGCACGGTGACCTTCATGAGGAAGTCTACATGCGAATGCCTCTTGGTTTTCAATCTGACAAACTAAGTATGGTGTGTCGATTGCAAAAATCTCTGTATGGCTTGAAACAAGTGCCGAGATGTTGGTTTGCTAAATTAACCGCAGCCTTGAAGACATATGGGTTCCAACAATCAGGTTCAGATTACTCCCTATTCACCTTTCGTCGAGACAGGGTACATGTGCTTGTCCTCGTGTATGTGGATGGCATTATCGTGTCAGGTAATGATCATATGGCAATTCAAGTCTTCAAGAAATATTTGAGTGACTACTTCCATATGAAAGACTTGGGACCATTGAAGTTGCCCGAAACTCAACAAAATTTTTTCTGTCTCAACGAAAGTATGCTCTGGATATTATCGCTGAAGTTTGATTACTTGGTACAAAACCTGCTCCTTTTCCTATGGAGCAAAATCACAATCTGGCCTTGACAGATGGGCCTCTCTTATCTGATACTGAGCGATACAAGCGCTTGGTGGGCAGGCTTATTTATCTCTCAGCAACTCGTCCTGAATTGTCTTATTGTGTGCACGTTCTGTCCCAATTCATGCAACAATTGCAAGAAAGACATTGGGAGGCTGCATTGCGAGTGGTGCGCTACTTGAAAGGAAATCTTGGTCAAGGAATTCTCTTGCGTTCAGATTGTGACTTGCATTTATATGCATGGTGTGATTCAGACTGGGCGAGCTGTCTTTTGTCTCGACGTTCCGTGTCTGGGTAGTTTATTCTACTTGGGAAATCGCCGATTTCCTGAAAAACTAAGAAACAACACACTGTGGCTTGTTCTTCAGCGGAAGCACAATATCCGTCTATGGCCACGGCCACGTGTGAATTAAAATGGCTGAAGGGATTGTTATTGGCCCTTGGAGTGACGCATTCGAACCCAATGCGATTATATTGTGATAGTCAGGCAGCCTTGCATATTGCAACAAACCTAGTGTTTCATGAGCATACAAAACATATTAAAGTTGATTGTCATTTTGTTTGTGATGAGATTCAAAATGGTTGCATTCGTCCTAGTTATGTATCAACTACCATTCAGCTGGCAGACATTTTTACAAAGACATTGGGTCGCAGAAAATTTGAATATTTTTTCTGCAAGTTGGGCATTTACAATCTGCATGCTCCAACTTGAGGGAGGTGTTAGGATTGAATTGGAAATCTCCGGGATTAGGAAACTCCGCTGAGTTAGGATCGAATAAGGAGTTCATTTTGAGTTTGAGTTCTTGTAAATTTAGGAGATTCGTTGTTCGATGGCTGTGTATATATGTAAATCTTCAATGAATGAAAATAAGAAAAACAAACATTTAAGTTTGAGTTCTTATAAATTTAGGAGATTCGATGTTCTATGGCTGTGTATATATATGTAAATCTTCAAAGAATGAAAATAAGAAAAACAAACCAGAAAAGCTCTGATTTTGCATGTATCTCTCTCTAAAAAACATTGAATAAGCATGTAGTCGTTTTTGTTGACACTTGCCCTGCTGCAAATATGTTTGTTTCTAAAGCTGAAGCCTGAAAGGTACATTTAAGAGAGATAGGTGTCAGCTTATTTATTACGGGCTTACTCGGTGTGTATTCATCCGTGCCTATATACTAAAAAAAGAATTAAAAAAAAAAAAAACTGTGCCTGTACCAGATCTGCACTCGAGACGTAAACGATGTTTTGAGAGTGGTTTTGTGTAATTGGGTTCAGGTTTCAACTTGACATACTGCCATGTCAATGTCAATGTCAGATAGACGTCAATGGTTTGACAGTCATCTGTGTTTTGAAACTGAAGTTTTGACCTTTTATTTATTTATTTACTTCTTTTTTGCGTAAGAACGAAGCAGCTTCATTGGATACTAGCGGGCGGGCCCATGAATGATAATGTAAATTAATTGTGTTGCATGTAGATGCAGTCCTGTTAAAAGAGTCCAATAACATAAATAGTCCAAGTAAAGAAATGATTCGAAAACATAAATAAGAAGTGAAGAAACATTCAAAAACAAAAGTAGTTCAACCACTGAAGATTCCAGTGCCTGCAGCGAACCCGTCCCCGTCAAGGATCGGCGATGGAGATTGGAGGGTAAATAGGAGATGGGGATAGGGTTAATTTCATAATGGCTGCGTTGATCGGAGATGAGGACAAATTTTTAGTTTTTACGTCAATTTTATATAAATAAATCAATTCTATTGTTAAATAAAAAATACACATCTTTTTTTCTCAATTACCTAGCCAAATTTCGAACTTTATATGGGAGCCAGGCCCGGGCCCATGATCTAGGCCCGACGGTCCATCTCACCACAGGTTAAGGAAATAAAAAAGGGGATAAATAAAACATAGCACAACCAACATAGGCAACCACCACCATCGTCCGCAACCGCCGACTCCTACCATGACCAGCCCTTCGCACCACAGAACGCCAAAGTTAGAAAAAAAAAAAAAAAAAACGATAAAATGCAACACCATCATCAATACAGAGAAAAAAGAAAAAAAGCAACATCGCTAACTAAAAAACCACCACCTCACCATTGCCGGTCAACCACCATCACCACCTTTCAATACCACTGCCAGACATAAATGAAAAAGAAAGAAAAAAAAATGAAAAAGGGGAATAATGCAGCACTCAAACCATCTTAGGCCTCAAAGGAAACAGGAGATTAGAGCCACCTGCAACAAAAAAAACAGTGAACAATGTTAATTTGAAGGATGTGTAAAAACAAAACACACTGATGCAAATATAATAAAGAAAAAAAAAATCAAAAAAGAGAAACAGGCGATGGTTGCCGAGTGAATGAAAAACGAAATATGGCAAGTGTATATATCAGATCTCTGCTACCTACCGATCAGATCTATTCTTTCAAATTTCGAAATTTCGATATGAGCTCTCAAATTTCGATGTGATGTATTGTCACATCTTTATTCCAGCAGTTCAACTATTATTTAATATAATATAGAGCGTCGTTACAGCTCCGTACGTCAATGATTCTATTAAATGGATGGGCTTTGTTACTGCTTTTGCTAAAGCCATTGCATCAGTGGCTTCAGTAGTTCTCTCAAAGTTGGATGGATCGAATTCGGCATTATGCCCATGGACATTACCAACTAGATCTCCGTTACTTGCTTCATGTAACCTCAGTTGATCAACTCCCATTTGCTTCTCCGCTTCAAGAGGTTGAGCACTTCTAGCAGCAATCTTCTCGTTATGGGCTTCAAAATAAGCCTTCTTCTGAGCAACCGATCCAGGGGTGGAACACTTCCTCATCTCTAGAAGATCAGGATGGAGTTTAGCTTCAGAGCAGAACGTGAAAGAGGGATAATTAACACCTTGCAGCCAACATCTGACACCGAACAGTGATCAGTACAAGAAGATTAGAATGCGGACAAAAGAAAAGAAAAGGGAGGGTAAAACGAAAAAAGAGAAGAAGAACGGAGAACATGTGTTTTTATCGTAAACCTAACGAGAATTAAGAGGAGATGCAGTTATGGCATTTCTGTAATTTTCAAGAAAAAATGTAAAACTTATTGTTAGATTCCATTTGCTGCATTCTCAAACATTCTATCGTACACATTGAGCAGGACGGGACCTTTATAGGATATAACATCACAGTAACATTTAGTATGGTTGCCTACTAAACTGATGAACTAGACGGGAACTTGATTGGAGCACGTCAGCAAGACAAGAACAAGTAATAAACGAACACTAAATCTCAAGGAGTAGACAATAACAGGGCTTCCAAGGGGAATGCATGTAAAACATAGTTTCTAATGGTAATTGATGAAGAAAGATTTGGCCCGACTTCGTAATCACCTCCAGGTGGCAAAGGCAAACAGCTCGGCACAACAGCGCACCCACAAGGAGCCCAAACTCCCCACCAGCAATCCGAACAAAGAGCCCGAACTCCCTACTAGGAGCCTGAATTCCCTACGAGGAGTCCAATCTCTCCCTTAGGCCCCAAGCCACACAAGACAATGACCCGAACTGGCCCGCCTCATGGCAGTTCGGGACACTCCCCTATCCGAACTCAAGACTTCACCTCGCTCGCCACTCTAGCACTTCACCTCCAGGACGCCGAACTGAACGAATGTACCATACCTGACAGCGAGGAGGTCCGTATCCAAGGGCGGCGCACCTGACTGACTTGGGATCTGACGCTTGACAACCGCACTTCAACGGTCACCTGCCACCGCCACCTGCCACCGTCATCGCCAGTCGTAGAGACGGCTCCGACAAAAGGGGGCAATGGCGGTTCTGTCCAACAGAGGGGATGACATCCGAACTGGCAGAAGCCCAGAGGTAATCATACCCGATCGGACAGAAGCTTAGGAGTGAGTGCACGAGGTGGCTATAAAAGGCTCCCTACCCCCCAAGAACAAGGTACGTGAACTTTGCGCCATCTGGTTTTATCTTGCCTAAGAATTCTAACTTGAGCTTCGGAGCATTCATACCGGGTTCCCCCCGGATCTTCCTCATCTTCTTTGTTTCAAGCTCCCTGGTGATAGCAGCTCGGAAACTCCGCCCGTAATTCCAGGCTCACACCGTCATCGTCCTGACTGACAAACCTCTGAGGCAGGTTTTACTCAAGCCCGAGGTTTCTGGTCCATTGACAAAATGGGCCATCGAACTCAGCGAGTACGACCTCCAGTACAAGCCAAGAACTGCTATTAAGGCCCAAGCCTTGGCAGATTTTATCGCCGAGTGCATGTTTAGCATCGAAGCCCCTGAGCCGGTCGAGCCCGAGATCCCCAGTTCGGGCGAGCCCGGAGCTCCCAAGCCAATAGAGTCTGAACCCCGTGAAGTAGCAGCCARTGTAGCATCTCTCCTGGTTAGGCCAAACGCGAACTGGGATGAGGAGCCCTGGATCTTTCACGTAGATGGCTCCTCGAACCAGCAGGGCAGCGGGGCTGGAATAGTGCTACGCGGCCTGAGCGGAACGAAATTGGAATACGCACTACGCTTTGAGTTCAAGGCATCCAACAACGAGGCGGAGTACGAGGCACTGATAGCCGGGCAGGAAACAGACCGGACGTATGGTCAATTTGGCAAATACGTTCAGTTCGGGAGAAAGAACAACCAACACTTAACCAAAAGAAAAGTCATTCCATTTCAAAAAAAAAAAAAAATCTTTTATAGGCCCGGAGCTACTTCTTCATTATCAGAAGGCACTTCAACGATACCCGGAGGCCCTGCCTCGCCCTCGAAATCTGGCTCACCATCAGCAGCATTGGCCATCTCCTGAGTTATGCGCGAAGTGGATATGGCACTAATATCAAGCTCGGGGTACGTATTCCGGATCATCCACCGGCTTAGCTTGAAACCCCTTCGATACGAATCCACCATTAGGTCGTCAAAGCTCGGTGAGGCGATGTACTCATCGACAACCATGGCGTGAGTAACAGCACGGCAGGCCACCTGGTGCAGGGGGAGATCAGTCCACGCCGCGACCTCCTCGGGGAAAATGGCCTCCTTACTCTTCTGAAGAGCGTAGGTCGGCGACAACACACTCCTGAATTCCCCTAGGGCCCCCGAGCCCGAAGGCCCAGCTCGCGTATGAGCAGACCCAGAGTAAGCAGGAGCACCAGAGTAGGTGGGAGCCCCCGTGTAAGTAGTTTCAGCATACGGGCCCCCTGTCGTTTCTTGCATTGGAGGAGCCATCTCGGGCTCCTTGGGCGGATCCCCTGACGGGTAGTCTGGTACCTCGGGCTCCGCATCCGGGGCAGCTCGGCGTGAGTTCGCTTGGCGACACGCTTCCTCCTCTTCATACCTTGAAACAAGTGCCCACCACGAGTCCTTCCTGAGTCCATCACACCTGCAAAAAAGAGTTCGGCATCAGAAAAAAGCCAGACAGAGCAAAATAGAACCTCCAAGTAAGGAACCTACCCGAACTCAAGCCGACCGCAATGAGCTTGGCCTCCGTCAGATACTGTTGGCACTTTAGCCCAAGTCGCGCCCATTGTCGGAGGCCCTTCACCGTCTCTTTGTCAAGCGTAACACCGGAGTCAGGGGCGGCCACCCCCACCCGGTCTGAAACAGCCACCCCAGCACACTTCGCACCCGAAAGTAGTCCTGCTTCCACATTGGGACCTTGTTAGGAAGATCATGTAAAAGCTTAAAACCCGGGCGAGGAGACAGGTAATACGCCCGCCTACGCCCGGGGAGGAAACCCGCTTGCTTCTTAAGCATTAAGATGGAAGAGAAGATTTCCATGTCTAAAGGAAAGCCCTATTCGCTAAATAGGGAGATTGTCCCCACCAAATTATGAATGGAGTTCGGGTGAAGCTGGCCGACCGTAACGCCGAAGTGATTCAAGACCTCGACAAGGAGGGGATGGAAAGGCAATCGCAGCCCCGCAGCGAGCTGCTCCCGGAATATCACGATCTCATCAGGACCGTGTTCCTAAGGAAAGATACCCGAAGGTATGAAATAAGCGTACTCCCCAGGCAAATTGTAATAGGTAATAAGGAATTGGAGCCCCTCAGGCGTCATGGTCGAGGGGCCAAACTTGTCTAACATCCGACCCCGACGAGAGGTGGACGCCAAACTACCCGAGGCGACTTGACCTACGGGTTCGAACTCTTCCTCGAGCTCTACCTCTGACTCGCTAGGACTATCAGGGGATGCGACTCGGTTCGTAGAACCTACATTTGACCCACTTGAAGAACCTGAGCATTCCGAGCTAGACATCAAGGAGAGAAGGTGGATTCCAGGAAGGTACTCACCCGGAAAAAAGTTTGAATAAGACTACGGGAACTTGAACGAGCGAAAACCTTGAACGCGAACTGCAAGCCTAGATGCGAGTTGAAACTTGGACGCGAGCTCAAGAGGCAAAGCACAGAAGTGACAAAGCGACTGGGGTCCCCCATTATTTATACCCACAGTGACCGAGAAGCAACAACACAGATCAAAGCCAATCCGACGGCCCGCAGTCGCGCTGACCGCACGTCACCTGAGACCGAGACGTGATTGGCACATATCTTTTTGAAACTGACAGATCGCCGGCGCACGTCTTTCTGAAATTGACAGAGTGCCAGTGCACGTCTTTCTGAAACTGGCAGAATGCCAGCGCACGTCTCCTCACATTAAAGGCGGCAGCGGCACGTTTTCAAAATTTGAAAGGACGCCTGCTGTCACGTCTCCTAACGGCGCGCTTTTTTGATTTTGAAATAAAGCGCGCTGTCACGTCTGACAGCAATTGTAGGCAGGTCGGCGTGTTCTCCGTCTTTTGGGCGCTCGAAGAAACTAACCCTGACAGCGCACCTCGCGCTATCAGTCAACCGAGATTCGAAGTACAGGACAGATCCACCTACCACCTTGCGAACTCCCCGCACCAAGGCAAGACCCTTAGCACGAGGAGTGGGGGGCAATTGATGAAGGAAGATTTGACCCGACCTCGTAATCACCTCCAAGTGGCAAAGGCAAACAGCTCGGCACAACAACGCACCCAGGGCACAAGCACCAAAGGGAGGTAACCTGCAGTCCGAACTCCCCACAAGGAGCCCGAACTCCCCACCAGCAATCCGAACAAGGAGCCCGAACTCCCTACGAAGAGCCCAAACTCCCTACTAGGAGCCTGAACTCCCTACGAGGAGCCCGATCTCTCCCTTAAGCCCCGAGCCACACAAGGCAATGACTTGAACTGGCCCGCCTCATGGCAGTTCGTGACACTCCC